TAATCAGAGCACAAGCTGAAAATACCATTGGGAATTTGGGGAAATACACACGCAGCTCAACTCCCAACATCACACATGCTCTTCAGGGGCGGCTGCAGACGACGGAGGACAGACTTCTACGTTCCAGATACTAGGTACACTCATGTGGTAACTGGAGAGGAGCAGTATAAACCGCCTCTGGATGGCCTTATACCAAGGGGCCAGCCAGGGCTACAGGGGTCTGGAAACTCCCAAAAAAGGTGTTGGATAGGATGTGATTTACATACTTCCAATATCAGCAAGATCAGAAATTCAAGGTTATCCTCAGCTACACAGCAAAGCCAGCCTGGGCTACATCAGACCATGCCAAAAAAAAAAAAAAAAAAAAAACCTGAAAGGAGAAAGGCCTTAGGTGCAGGTCGCCACCGGCAGGACGGAGGACCCCACAGGTGCGTACCTCCGGTCACTGCCACTCAGGTCAGGGGAGGGTCACACCTGTGCAGCCTACCTACTCAGTTGGATGGCTCAACTGTCTGGCTCTACAGGACAAAACCTGACTTCTGCCAGGAGGATGGAGCATACATTGAGTAATAGTAACCTTGGTGTTGGTTCTGCACAGGCTAAGGTGCTGCACACTGAAAAGGATGGACACAAGTTTTCATAGGGGAGATGGGGAGCTACTGCAGCCAGGCCCAGGGATGCCCAGCACTCCAGCCCTCGGGATTCCTGCCGCAGATCCTTCCCTGGGCAACCATGGATGAGGCACAGCGCCCATGGTGATCCAGAGCCCTACATTCTCATTTCTCAGGAGAGTCAGCCAGAGCAGAAAGCATTGCCCCATTTTATAGATGGAGAAACCGAGGCTTCAAGGCCTCAACTCAGATCTGACCATGGGACCCCTGTGATTGCCACGTCACTCAAAGGATGTAAGCCTGAAGCTTCCAGAGTTTGGGTGTAAGCAGCCTTGGGCAACTTTTCCTGGCCATCAAGGCTGCTGAGCATGCAGGCTCTGTTCCCACCACCCCCACAGGAAGCTCCGCCCTTCTCAGTCCTAGCACATGCCCAGAGTCCTCTCCTTAGCCGGTTCTGTGCTAATTGTGGAAGTGTGTGTCATGGGCTGGAGGGCCAAACACTACAATCCCACAGCTGAGATCAGCAGGAGCCTCCTCTCAGGTTTTGGGGACAGAGGCTCACCACCAAGGGGCTTGGAAGTGAGGGTTCTCTGAAGCAAGGCTCACTCTCTTCCCATTGCCTCTTCCTAAGCTTTTGATGATGTCTGAGCCAGGGTCCCACTACGTAGCCCTGAAACTCACTCTGCAGGCCAGGCTGGCCTCGAACCTACAGATCTATCTGTCCCTGCCTCCCGCGTGCTGGGATTACAGATGTGTACCACATCTGCCTTTAATTGTATTTCCTCATTCATCTGAGTGTGTGTGGCCATGCACGCTATGTGGTGCACGCGGAGGTCAGAGGGCAACTTGTAGGCGTTCTTTCCTTCCACCACTAGGGTCCTGGGGACAGACTGCAAATCACCAGGCGAGGTGGCCAAGACATTCACCCACTGGGTCACTCACCAGCCCTCAATCCTTTTCACAGTTGTTTAATAATATATTCTGGGCGGGGCGGGACTGCACAGCGCTCAGAGGCAGAGCCTTTCTGGGGTCTACTATACTGTGCTTGCCTCTGGCAGTATGACCAGGTCATGACTCTCAGATCCCCGACCCTCGGTGACTCTCAAAGCCCTTGGATGACAGCTAAAGTCTAACCACCTGCCTGTCCACAGCGCTTCTCTCCTCCCACATCCCACTACCCACAACACAATGCCCCCGCAGGCAACTGCAGGACACAGCAGCTATATCTACCAATCACAGTGTCCTCTGGAGCACCCCGCCTTACGTCTGCAGGCCCCACACTCCCTAGGCAAGTCCATTTCCACAGCACTTAACGTCTGTAGCATCTGTATAATTTACATCTCTGTGGCATTCGCTGCTCCCTAGTCCCACCATCTCCTGCCTGTTCTGTCCCATGCTCCCCAGCACCTGTAGCAGCGACTCAGAGCCTGCCCATCCTCTTGGCTCGCACCAGACAGCAGCCATGGCCACGACCAGCAGGTTTGTAACAGTAGGGCTCTGATTCCAAAGTGCACCAGGGCATAGCCGAGCTCTGCCTTGAGGCTATGGAGGACACCCAGGACCCCTCCCAGCTTGGCTCTGAGGATGCCATGATCCACACGAATAAAATTCTAACCACCCTCTGCCAGGTTCTCATGCCTGATCTCTATCACTTCTGTGTCCAAGGGTCCAAGTGCTATACCGTCAACCACATGATATGTGTGTTTGTTGGAGGCCGCAACAGAGGAACAGGTTGGGGACCAAGAGGGTCCTGGTTCTGCTCTGGAAAAGGTTGTCCCTTCACGACAAGATAGTCAGATTGTGATAGCCATTGCCATGTGTTTCCAAGGTGCCCTACTAACCTGACGGAAATAAGGCTAACCATAGCATGGGAGCTGGCTGTGCGCAGGCAGCACCAGCTTCTGTCTCAGAGTGGACACAGCAAGCCAGACCCAGGCCGCTGGGTGGCTTGACCACGAGGGCAGACTTGGAAGCTCAAAGGACATGTGGGAGATAATGTTATTAAAAACAAAAACAAAGGTTCCTTCACCTAGGACTGTGCCCCACTGACGGCACTCCCGGGTCAGCCCCAGGCTGCACATGCTCTTTGGCAGCGATGTGGCGGGTGGGCAGGACAAAAGCAAACTGAGGCCCCTTTCCAGGGCTCTGTCAACATTTCGGCTTGCTTTGGGTTCCTCTTTTTACTCCACAGTAGCTGGAGTCACTGTTTGAGTGGGCAGCTCCTCCCTGGGTACCAGCGCCAGCCTGGCTCAGGAAAAGCCTCCTCTGGCCACCTACTCTCTTTGTCCATTTCACCCTCCTCCAGCTGTAGCCGTTGTACTTTTCCACAGAGGACTAGCTCAGGACAGAGTGGAGACAATTACAGCAATAAATAGCAGGCAGCTGGAAGCAGCCAGAATGTTTCCAGGCTAATCGATTCATTTTTGACAACATTAAAATAAATAAATAACATTCTAGGCAAATGGCTACAGTCAGTAGCAACTTCCCGAGCAGACACAGGACCTAGGGGGCAAGGACAAGGGTCACTGGGGGTAGGGTCTGTCTTTTCTGGAAATGGTTCTGTAGGTACCCGGGTTCTTCTCAATACCTTGTGGGAACCCCTCACGCACACTGAGTATCACTGCTTTCGGGCTATGGTGTCCAGATGCGAGCATCCATCTCCTCACTACAACATGGAGGGTCTTGAGGACACTGGGCTGTGAGGTCAGCCAGTCTCAGAAACTGGGCACTGTAGGGCTCCACACAAGTGAGGTCTCTGATTCATCGGACTCATAGGACAAAGGCAGAGCCAGAATGGGGTTGGCAGGATGGACTGACAGGTGAGAAAGTAGAATTTAGGAAAGACAGTTTCGTGTGGGGAAAGCGAACAAGATCTGGAGACAGTGGTACAGGATGCTGGAGTCTCCTGATGCTCCACAACATGACAGCATGCATGTGCGTAGTGCTCTGACCTCTATCTGTAGATGGGAGAGTTAGCTGGTGAAGGCAGGACAGTCAAGAGCCCAAGGTCAGAGGCAGGCACGCTGGAGCAGGAGGGAGGCAGAGGCAGACCCATCTCTGTGAGTTTGAGGTCAGCTGATCTGCATAGTGAGTTCTTGGACAGCTAGAGCTACAGTGCCAACCTGGCTCAAACAAACAAAGAAACAAAAGAGCTCAGGGTCACCCATAGGTTACAGGCTGAGTTGAGGCCAGCTTGGACTACCGAAACCTTGGTTTCAAAACAAAAAGTGACAAGTGCTTAGGGTTGTTTTGTTTTCTCCTTTAAAAAAATGTATCGTTGCCAGGCGGTGGTGGCACAGGCCTTTAATCCCAGCACTCGGGAGGCAGAGGCAGGCGGATCTCTGTGAGTTCGAGGCCAACCTAGTCTACAAGAGCTAGTTCTAGGACAGGCTCCAAAGCCACAGAGAAACCCTGTCTCGAAAAAAACCAAATAAATAAATAAATAAATAAATAAATAATAAAAATAAAATAAAAAAATGTATCGTTGCCAGGCAGTGGTGGCACAGGCCTTTAATCCCAGCTCTCGGGAGGCAGAGGCAGGCGGATCTCTGTGAGTTCGAGGCCAACCTGGTCTACAAGAGCTAGTTCCAGGACAGGCTCCAAAGCTACAGAGAAACCCTGTCTAGAAAAAAACCAAAATGAATAAACAAATAAATAAGGAAGTAAATAAATAAATGTATTGTTACTGTGGAGCAGGGAGGGGGGAGAGGACAACTTTGGAAGCCAGTGTCCTCCATTCACGATGGGCAGGTTCTATCTGGCTGCATCTGCCTTGCTCTGCACTCAAGACTTACCTGGCCTGTGAACTTCGACCTAACTTTCCTGTCTTCGTTCCCTCTCAGCCTCCTACCATCTCTGAGGTGCTCTCCATCAACTTGGAGGCAAAAGAGATGAAGCATCAGGTTGCATGGGTGGAGAGGCACTGGAGGAAGGGGACCTCTTTCAGGACGACCAGAAAGGGCTGAAGAGGGACATCCCTGGAAGAGGTCAAATAGCTTGTAACTCTTGGGCTGTGTGGGTCCTGTGGTCAGACTGGTTTTGAGCCCAGGTTGATGGCAGAGACTGGATGTCCCCTGGGGCTCTTCCAGAGTTCTGTACAGCGGGCACTCCTCAGGATCCTGCAGCAGCTAGAACACAGGCTGCAGAGATGGAGACAACAGATGACAAGGTGATGTGGGGGCTGGAGAGATGGCTCATAAATAAAGATCGCGGGCTGCCCGGACCTGGATTTGCTTCCCAGCATCGACATGCTCTAAGGGATCTGATGTCCTCCTCTTTCTGGTTTCCACAGGCACTAGGCAGGCACGTGGTACACAGACATACATGCAGGCAAAATACTCACATACATAAAATAACATTTTTAATTATTATTTTTTAATTAACCAGGTTGCAGGGACAGCTGTGGATATCTGAGTGTGTGATGATTTTGGCAGCTGGCAAAGTGTGGGAGGCTGAAGGGAAGACAAGCCCTACAGAGAGTGGTATAATTCCTTCAAAAGCTCTGCCAGCCAAGGGAGAGTCGGGGTAGGAGCACCTGGGGTGAGGGGGTAGGCATACACAGCGTTAGGGGAATAAAGGGTGAGATGAGGCTGGTGACCCCTCAGGATGTCCACAGAGAAATGCTGGTTATGGATGAAGCTGGAAGCAGAGAAGGGTACAGGCCGGGCCTTGTGACTTGATAAAAGTTTCAGCTGCATCCTGCAGAAATCACAGTGATTGTCTGTATCCAGCTCTTGAGACGTTGAGGCATGGGGGTGGGATGTTTGAGGCCAGTCTAAGGTTGTACACAGAGGTCCAGGCCAGTCTGAATATACAATGGGACTCTGTCTAAAAAAAAAAAAAAAAAAAAGAGGGGCAAGCATGGGGGAACATGACTTTAATCCTAGTATCCCAGTTCATGGAAGGCAGAGGCAGGGGAATCTGAGTTCAAAGCCAGCCTGGTCTACAGAGTGAAACCCTGCCTCAATAATAACTTATTTTTAAAAAAGAGTACAACGTGGTTCCTGAGGAATCTATGGAATTTGCTGAGCCCGTAGCGTGAGCGGGGCTGGAGTGAGAGTGGGGTCTCCTGGCTTCCAGGAAAGTCAGGAGGAGACTAGGGGCAAGGGAGAGAATACCTGTGCATGCCCGTGTTACACACTTGCAGTCCCAGCCGTGCCATGGGGCACAAGTGCCATTGGTGCTGAACATGCCGCTTCTGCACTAGAGTGTAAAGACACGCAGTCACTTCTGCATCGTGTACAACTGCGTCCCCGCCTGAACGGTCCGTGCTCAGCCTGCCGACACTCTGCCTTTGCTTCTTGGTCCCACTTCATCCTTTTCTTGTGGTGACAGATTGATTCCAGGGCTTCATGATAGGAACCTGCTTTAGCACTGAGCTGTCCCCTTTGCCCAGGACTCCTGTCTGAAACTGGTCCATCTCTCATCTCCATTCATCCTCCAAAAGGATGGTCCCTGAGGCACCAGGCGCATACCCCCCAGGGGAGCAAGGGCAGGAGACAGGGTACTCTTCTATCCTTGCTTTCCAGGGTTCTGGACTGTACCTGGTCATGTGCCCATCTTTTAGTTTTAGTCACTCTACCTAACACAAGGGCAGAAATTTTGCGGCACCCGGGCAGACAGAGGCTACCCTGGTCTTAGTCTATCACCCTGGCCTCTGCATTCCTCACTAAGCAACTGATACCAACTAAGAGGTTCTCTGAGAAGAGATGAGGGCTCCCTGGCCTCACTTAGACGTTGGTGTATAAGTATAGTGGATGACATTAAAAACTGATAATACCCTGGGCTCGGTAGGGCACACCTTTAATCCCAGTACTCGGGGGGCAAAGGCAGGTCAGCCTGGTCTACATAATAAGTTCCAGGCTAGTCAGAACCACATGGAAAGACCCTGCTCCCCTCCAAAAGTGACAATACTGTGGCTTGGAGAGATGGTTAAGAGTACCGGCCGCTCTACCAGAGGACACAAATTGTCACATATCCACATGGCCGTTCATGATTGTAACTCCAGTTCCAGTGGATCCAATACTGTCTTCTGCAGGCACTGCACGTTTATGGTGCACATGCATACATGCAGGCAAAACACTCACATACTTTAATAAAAATGTGGTGCATAGACTTATAAACAGGCAAACACGTATACATTTAAAACAAAAGTCACTTTCAATATTTTTAAAAAATGTGGCCATTAATTTCTCTGAGAAAGTATTTTTATTTTTTATGTTTATTTTTATGTGCATTGGCATTTTGTCTGCACATATGTCTGTGAGAGTGTTGGATTTTTTGGAAGGGTTTCAGTGCTCTTAACTGCTGAGCCATCTCTCCAGCCCTAAGAAAGTATTTTTATTAACTAGTACTTAGATATAACTGCCTTATAATTTGAGTACAGCTGCTTTGGAATTGAAAGTTAAGAATATCATTAAGGGGGCTGGGCATAACAGCTTATGCCTGAATCCCAGCACGTGGGAAGTTGAGGCAAGAGAGCCCAGACTTGCTACCTAGTGAATGCCAGTTAGACCGGGCTAGAGTGAGACCCTAGCTCAGAAACAAAAAAGTATGGGGCTGGAGAGGTGGTTCTGTGGTTAAGAGAGATTACTGCTCTCGCAGAGAACCAGAGTACAATTGCCAGTCCCTCCATGGGGCCCACAAACTTGCACAGGCACACATACATATACCTAAAATAAAAACAAATAAACCCAAAACAACTAAACTAAAAAGCACACGGAATGTGGTTAACTTCCAGGTGACACATACTTGTAATCCTAGCGCTCGGGAGGTTGAGGCCAGGAGGACTGAAAATTTGAGGGAAGACTGTGACACACAAGACCCTGCCTCAGCCAGGCAGTGGTGGTACACACCGTTAGTCCCAGCACTCTGGAGGCAGAGGCAGGCAGAGATCTGTGAGTTCGAGGCCAGCCTGGTCTACACAGGGAGTTCCAGGAGAGCACAGAGAAACCCAGTCTTGGAAAACTGTTAAACAAAGAAACAAGTAAACCCAACCCTTCCCCACCAAAAAATAGGTTGAAAGAAATAAACTGAACTCTACTATTAAGCTGGGAGACAGATAATTCTGTCAGAAGGTGTTTATCATCATAAAAGCCTAGACTGTGAGTTTAATCCCCAGCACTCACGTGAGCAGCTGAGTGTGGAGGTGCATACTCCTATTCCCCGGAACTTGCTGCCAGTCAGCCCAGCCTAACTGGTGAGTGTCCAGTAGAGACACTGTCTCAGGAAACAAGGTGCTGGCTCCTGAAAAACAACACCCCAGGCTAACCTTCAGTCCTCACGTGCACATGCATGCAGACAAACACACACCCACAGTGAATGGGGGATGTAGACATAAAACACGAACAGCTGATCCTGCAATGGTCTGGTGGGTTATGATGTACCGTTATTGTCTTAATTCCAAACCTTCTGCTGGGTGAGCCCTAGAGTGCGGGTTTCTAGCCATCCTGCTCCCCTCAAATGCTGGGTGCCTGGTGTGGGGAGCAGGACACAGTCACAGGTAAGAGTATACAGCTGGGGACCCAAGAACAGTTGTCCAAGATGAGGGTCACATGCCAATCACAACAAACCGTGGATGTCACCATGAAGAGCAAAGAAATCAAAGCATGCCAGGGTGAAGATGCTGCTCAGTGGGCAGCGTGCTCACCTGGCATGGGTTTCATCCCAGCATAGAATGAAGCAGGTGAGGTGGGACGTGCAGTCTCGGGACTCAGGAGTTGGAGGCTGGAGACCAGAAGGGCTAGGCATCCTTGGCTACAAAGCAAGGTCACCCTGGGCCAAGTGAGCTCCCGTCTGACACAGCCATAGGCAGAGTCCTACAACACAGGACTTCTGAAGGTGCGTGTTAAGCCCAGACAGACAGCTCAGTCACCAGGAACACTTGCCGGTCTTGGGGCAGATCTTAGACGTGTTCTCGGTACCTATATCGGGGGCTCACAGCTGCATCTGACATCAGCTCCAGAGAAGCTGACGTCCTCTCTGCCTCCATGGGCACCTTGTACACACATGAAAATAATGCACAGAAATAAATAAAATAAATCCTTACAAAAAAGGAGGTACATGGTAAAAGGCATCTGTGTGGAAACTAAAAAGAGAGAGAGAGAGAGAGAGAGAGAGAGAGAGAGAGAGAATTTTGTCTGGGTCTTTTATCCCAGCATTCAGGAGACAAAAGGTAGGAAGATTTCTGTGAGTTTGAGGTCAACCTGGTCTCAGGCTGTGGGCCTTAAGCCTGCCAGAGTTACATGGTGGTACCCTATCTCAAAATAATAATAAAATAGTAATAATAATAATAATAATAATAATAATATTTTCATGGAGTCACCCTACAGCAAGGGACAATACCCCAACTAGACATTATAGCCTAACAAATAAAAGCCCCACTACCAGGAAGACGCTACCTTTTTGTGTGCTGTTATTGGCCAATGGAATCCCACAGACCTGGAAGAATTATCCGCGACTCCCAATACCCTCAGCTGCCCTCCAGAACCTGATGGTAAGACCCTGCTGCTAGAGACACCACAGGCCTGAGTCACAGCACAGACATCAAACTGGTACTCGCCTGGAGTAATCAACAGCTCTCACTCAATCGTGAGCCCTATGAGCTACTGTGAGGCTGGCCTGATGAGATGTGCCCAGTGGTGCAATAATGGCATGAACGGTTTCGGAGTAATCACCACTTTCTGACAGGACTTAAGGCCTGCTCCATGAGATGGAAGCCATACCCTGTCATGGTTAATAAGCCAAGAACCTGGGGCTAGAGAGGACACAGGGAGAACCCCAAACTATGCTGTTCAACGGACCTAATGACTCACCTCACCGCTATACCCATTGGTCAGTGCATCTCTCGACCCTTCTCAGAGAGGCCTCCATTTGTGCTAGGTGGCAATTAACACAGAGACCCTCGACTAGTCACCATGTAGAGACTAAGAGGCTGCTCGCCCCTAAAGGAGACAGCCCCCTTTCCCGGGGTCTCAGGGATCTCCGAGGGGGCGGGGAGAGAAGGCAATAGTCAGAGGTACCAGGTGTGGCAAAGGCGGTGGATCTCTGAGTTTGAGGCCAGCCTGGTCTGCACTGTGAGACAGCCAGGGCTACACAGAGAGACCTTAACAAACGAATAAACAAGATTCCGAGGTGGTGGGGACTTAAAGGAAATGGCATTTTCGGAACACACGAGAGCCCGCAGTGACAGACGGTGCATTAGACCTGTACAAGCCCAACCCTCCTGACCAAAGCACAGCATGGAGGAGGGAGGTAGGCACGGAGTCCCAGCCCAGCTCATCAAGACTCCCTGCTGGGTACACAACACTCCAGGGCAGGTCCCACTCCCAAGAGCTGTTGGAGAATACCAACTTGGAAGGAAAAAAGAAGAAAATTCAAAGTTGGGTGGGTATGGAGGAGAGGAGAGAAATGGTGGTGGTGGGGATATAATCAATACAGTATATGAAATTACCAAAGAAATAAAAATATTTCTTAAAAATTAAAAAAATGAATAGGCATTAATGGGAAACTAACAGAGGGAAAGGGCTGGCAACACACAAGCCCCAGGCAGTGCTGGTCCCCACCTCAACTTGGAAAAGGAGTCTTCTTCCTGAGAGCAGCTGTTCCTTTGTGGCCACTCCTTCCCATGATGCTCCGGCTTCCTAAGTAGAGCATGTTACAGGGTTGACTAGAAACTAGAAGCTGGGGGCGTTTTTATATTCCTGTTTTTAAAAGCAAAATCTATCAGCAAATACAAAACTTGCTCACACCACTTCCCACGTGACTTCCCCATTAACAGGAAGCCCAAGATATCTTTTGCAAGTGTACGGGAGCCGTCAAGGGAGGCAGATGGGACTGTGCCTGGCTGCTCTCTGGGTCGGAATCTTCAGTGTCTCAGAACCAGTTCCTTCTCATGCAGGTCTTGGCTTTCAAGGCAGTGGGAAGATGCGTCTTGATCTCAGAGACAGAGGGTTAAGGATCAGAACAACGAGAAAGTCCTGGGCGCAAGGCTTCTTGGCATCCAGTCATGGGGCTAGGAGTGTCCCTGGAGGGCATGCCAGAGACCTTCCAGTCCACAGACAGCTGCCTAAAATCCTCCAGTCTCAGCCCTTCCAGCCTGCAGAGGTCTCTTTGGAAGCCATCACTATTAGTCACTGAAGCTCCAGCATTCTGGAAGAGCCTGGGCCATTTCTGACACTGAAACCAGAGCCACCCTGAGGCCACCCAAGGTTCTGCAACCTGTGTGCTGTTCTAGTCAAAGGTTCTGGGGCCTAGAGACAGAACCAAGCTTCCTGTAGAGCACCAATATTAAGGCTTATGAGCAGATTTCCTGTTACGACTTACGCAAGCCAGCCAGGGCTCCTGTGTTTCTGAGGACCACACCAGCCCCCTTCCTGGAAGACTATGAGCAGAGGAAATGCAGTGTTTTGAAGCACAGCCCAACACAGAGGACAGTCAGTGTTATGCTTTGAGACTACTGCGGTTTTAAGTATGTAAGTGTTGCCGGTGGCGCACGCCTTTAATCCCAGCACTCGGAAGGCAGAGGCAGGCGGATCTCTGTGAGTTCGAGACCAGCCTGGTCTACAGAGCTAGTTCCAGGACAGGCTCCAAAGCCAGAGAAACCCGGTCTCGAAAAAACCAAAAAAAAAAAAAAAAGTATGTAAGTGTTTTCCCTGCATGTGTATTTGTACACCGTGTGTGTGTGTGTGTGTGTGTGTGTGTGTGTGTGTGTTGTCCTCAGAGGTCAAAAGAGGCTTCAGGTCCCAGAGCCAGAGTTCAAAATGGCCGCAAGTGATGATGTGGGGTCCGGAACTGAACCCGGGTCCTCTGCAGGAGCAGCAATGCTCTTAACCACGCAGCTGTCCCCAGCCCCATCCTGAGACTTTCTAAGGCAACCACACAAATTTATCTAAATATTAAAACATTGAGCTGTTATCCAGGAAGCATTCTGAAGGGAAATCACTAGAAAGCCCATCGCTGAGCTAGCCTTTGTGTTATAGAAATGTAAAGTCCAGAAGCTGGGGGCGCATGCCTACAGTCCCAGCGTTCTGGAGACAGAGGCAGCCGGAGAGACAAGCGTGAGGACAGTCTGGGCAACAGATCAAGCTGGAGGCCTAGCAGATTCACAGAAAGACTTTGTTCCAAAAAGCTAATGCTTCATTCCGTCTGGGGAATGACCTGGCAGGTAGCACACCTCGCCACTGGATGCCGTGGTGTGAAGCTGCCGCCCACAGCTCCTGCAGCCAGACGGGGACAGAAACGTGAGGTCAGCTGGGGGCGCTAAGTGAGGCATGTGCAGAATAGCAGCAGAAAGAGGGGAGGCCCAGCCTCAAAAGGAAAGAGCCAACCTGCAAAAGTTGTCCTCTGACCGCCATACAAATGCCATGGCATGACGTCTGCACCCTCCCACCTCTCTCTCTCTCTCTCTCTCTCTCTCTCTTTCTCTCTCTCTCACACACACACACAAATAAATTTAAAAGACTCACCTTGACATGACTTTAAAAAAACCAAATTTTATGATCAAAACAATTACAATTTATTTGCAAGTATTTGTAATCTCAGGAGGCAGAGGCAGAAGGCTCTTTGTGAGTTATGGGCCAGCCTAGTCTACAACACGAGTTCCAGGACAGCCAGGGCAGTCACACAGAGAAACCTTGTCTCAGGAAGAAAAGAAAAACAAAAGCATAGCGTTTCTTATCACAATACTGAGAGCTCTCACTGGGGTCAAGGTGAAGTTCTGACACATAGGACGGCTTCTGAGACAGACCTCACACAGGACGGTCCTGCTAACTCTGGAGCACTGTCACACGGCCCACAACAGGACAGTCTCAGGGGACCACAGGGGCGGACTAGAAGACTCCACACAGTCCCTGATCCATAGTCCCCTGAGCTGCCTCTCTGCTGACAACTTTCCTCACAAAGTCAGCCAGGCCTTGGCCTGAGGAAGAGCCTGCGTTTGTGTCTGCTCCGCTCCTGTGCCCCTCCTCTCACACAGCTGTGAGAACACCTGACACAAACAACTTTGGTGAGAAAAGATTTATTCTGGCTCAGGCTTTCAGAGGGTTCACACCATGTGGGGGAGGACAGGGCACTGCAGGGAAGTGTACACCATGTGACCAGAAAGCAGAGTGAGACCAGAGTGACTGTCAGACACAACACCCCTCCAAGGATCCGTCCTCAGTGACCTACTTCCAGCCTCATCTTCCAAAGATTCCAGAACCTCCCAAAATAGTGCCAGCAGCTGGGGACCACGGAGCTGCTCACTGTTCTAAGGTCACCCTCAGATCAAGGCCCTGAGAGATGTCTTCCTACCAGCCTTGGTTCTCTGTGAAAGTGGCAGTTTCTAAGCTTTGTGCCTAACGTCACTGAAAGGTCCACCCCAGAGGAAAGAGGCCAGCCAGAGAGGCCATCTGCCGGCCCTGGTAAGAGATAAGCTTAGACTTCCTGTCTGGCTCATGGGAAGCCACTCTTCAAAGACAGCAGCATCCTCGGTCCAGTGCACTGGTGGAAGAGGAGAGCAGCACCTGAAAACTGTCCTTTGACCACACGCACAAAAATAGAGAACCACACACACACACAACTATAAAAAGGAGGAATAGCTTTGGCCTTCAACCTGAGGGTGTGGGGAAATGAGTCTCAAGTCCCTGTCCCCTTTTGCCGAGACTGTGATTGTAGTCACCATAACCAGGTGAGGACCTGACAAGGCCCTGCCCATCTGCATGAAGCCAGCAGCTTCTCCAGAGGAGGCTGCTGACATGATACTAAGGCAAGTGGCATAGTCCCTGGACTTCAGCAGTAGGGACAGTTTCCAAAGGTCCCTGGCTCTAATGCTACCTGCCCCACCTGACTAAAGCTTGCTTTATTTTCTCTTCCCTGAAACAAGAAGCTTGGTTCTCGGACCCCTGAGGACAACACTGTCCTCATTGGACTAGTCACCGAGCCACCAACTGAAGGGCAGAGCCCACCTGTTCAACAGTGGCAATGTCCCTGTCCCAGGGTGACAATTCCGGGACAAATGATCAGAGCACTGATGATGAGGGACCCGCACAGGTTTGGCAGGGCCTGTCAGTAACAGCACACAGGGTGACAACATGTGCTTCTTGCTGCTGGCAAACTTCTGGAGACACCGAGGCAGAGAAAGAAATAAAACAGCCTCACAGTTCCAGAGGCCTCAGCTCAGGCCCCTTGGCCCCACTGCCTTTGGGCTGCTGGAGAGGTACCATCTGTGGCGGCAGGAGGAGGCTGCTTACTTGTGGCAGCCAAGAAGCAGAGAGAGAGAAAGGGGCTGAACTCCTCCTAGCCCCTTTGAGAGAATGCCCTTTGAGAACTATCTCCAACTAGGCTCCAACAGGTTCCCCCGCCTCCCCATAGTGCCAGCAGCTAGGACTGAGTCTTCAGCATCTGAGCCTTTGGGAGACATTCAATAGGAGAGTCCACACCAGTCCAGTCACCCACACACGTCTCCATGTTCTTTCTCTTTAGCCCTGGTGATGGCTGCTGAGGGGTCACCTCACTGTAAAAGGATGCTATCACTCTGTGATCACCAGTCTTCCCACGAAGACGCCGCATCTGCCTGTGTCTGACGTTACTGTGTCAGGGCTTGGATCCGCGGCTCCCAGGACCACCACAGCAGCTGAAGATCACCCCAACCTGCAGTGCTCTAAGCGTTTCAGTGGAGCTTTATTCATGTTTTGACACTGTGTATTCTGAATCGGTATAAGTCAGTGAAGTAATAAGGGCGGCGGCGGGGCTGCGTCCCCAACACCCCAGCCGCCTGCCCGGCTAGCTTATGCCCCAAAATAATTACACGGACACTGTATTCTTTTAATCACTGCTTGGCCCATTCTCTTCTAGGCTAATTCTCACATATTAATTTAGCCCATTTCTAATCATCTGTGTATGGCACCCCAAGGTGCGCTTACCAGGAAGATTCTAGCCTATGTCCATCCTGGGTCGGACCTTCATCGCGTGTGTCTGCCAGGGAGCAGGGCATGGCGTCTCTGCTGAGGCGTCTGCTCCGGAGAGCAGAGCTGTGGAGTCTGACCTCACTTCCTCTTCCTCCCAGCATTTTGTTCTGTTTACTCCTCCCACCTATCCTCTAACCAATAAAATGGGCCAGGGCAGTGCCTTTATTAGCCAATGACCTTCCTCCATCAAGTCAGGACACAGACAATAAACACACAGCATACCGACAAGAACAAGCCAGCTGGGGACGCAGCCAGCAAAGGCCTGCACATGGGTCAAGTGTGAGACTTGTGCTCACACACGGCTTCCACAGCTTATAAATAGATGCTGGGGTCAGGTCCAGGTTGGCTCCTAAGTGCTCGTCTTCTTTGGCTTCTGTCTCAGCTTGTTCCACATCTTCTCCAGGGCCACTTTCCCCATGAAGAACGTGATGGCAAAATTACGCTTGTACCAGTCTCTACAGAGAAAGAGAGGTGCTCCAGTCAACTCAGGGACAGCAGCTCCCTCTGACTCCCTTACCTCCACCCCAGCTGGCCATACACACATCGAGCCAGTTTCCCTGTGTATGGAGGGCTCTAATCTTCTCTGGCCTGTACTAAAGCATTCATAAGATCCTCTCTGAATCCAGCAACATTCAAGACAGACACTGCAGAGAGATCAGTGTAACCATAGAACACAGTCTGGGAGGCTTCCTAGGGACCAGTGGGGTGTCCTGCCTTGGTCTAATTTGTAGAGCCCGGTGATCCCCAGTAGGAAGTTAACTGGTCACAAGCTCTAAATCCCCTTTTCTTGGTGACAGGCCCCTCATCCTCATACAAACCGTGGTGGAATCTGTAAAGAAAAATGCTGCCTCCAGGTCACTTGATAGCCGCCTGCCCACTGGTGAAATCTGGAGAACCCACTGCACAGGAGAAAGGCTCATCTCAGCCCTGGTGCAAGACCCTGGCAGCCAAAGACACCAGCAAGAGGCATTCCAGGCCCCTGAGCTACTGAACCACTTCTCACTTCTGCTAGTGTTGGGTTTATTGAGCCCTTGGATGTCAGTACAGAAGCCAAGCGAGGAAGCAGAGCCCCTTAGGGAGTGACAGCACAAGTCACACAGTGCAAGTCCCCAGACTCCACCTACACGAGGCAGGGCTCCACTGACAGAAGTACCCTGAGTAAGGAAGAAGAGCTTGAGAGAGCAAGAGAGCACCCCATCAGTCTCAGGCCACACGGATGTAGCTAATCTGACCCAGCTATGCAGGGGAAAAGCTAGCAAAGCCTCCTGTTTCTGTGCCCATCAGCCTCCTGAGAGCCACTGCACACAGGGCCTGTAGGGCAGCCGGGCTCTGTGAGCACAGGCTCCTGTGAGTGACTGACTAGGTCAGGGCAACGCACAACAGACATGGACGCTGATGCTCCTCCAGCTGCCACTGCCACCCATCTTCTCTTGAGGGCTTGCTACTCTGTCCACATCCAGTCCCTTCATGGCTACATTTTAAAGCCAATCTAAAGTTGTACCTTAACTTTTACCAGATATAACCAAAAGCTTAGATGATTATCTAAAAATCAGATTTATCAGGCTAAGCATGGTAGCCCCCACCTTTAATCTCAACTCTTGAAAAGAAGCAGAGGCAAGCAGACAGAGTTTGAGTCTAGCATGGTCTACATAGTGAGTGAGACCCTTTCTCAAAATATCAAACCAACCAACCAAACAATAGCAATAACAAAAAAGAGTCAAACACGGTGATGTCTGCCTACAACTCTATTACTCCCAAGGTAGAGGCCTGGTTCACAAAGCAAGTTTCAAGCCTAAATATGAGACCTTGTCTCAAATTAAGTAAATAAATAAAACAGGAAAAAAAGTCACAACTCTGACGATGATAACAACCTCATGGATACAACCACCCCATCTTTAGACACTCTGTCCAAATATCTCAGGACTGAACACTGTGGAATGCCCAATATTGTGAACGGAGCCAGCATCTTCAGGCTGTCATTTCAAAGGTCTTCAGTGCCCCTCCCCAGTTACACATTCCTTTTGCCTAAGAACTGGTACTTGGATGAAGTCCAACCATACTAGGACCCCATCTCTCATGAAACTCCCTGCAGGCATGGACTATACACCCTCCTGCAGCACCCTGGGTTGCCCCCCACTGCATGGGGCACGGGCTGTACATCCTCCTGCGGCACACTGGGTTCCCCCCCACTGCATGGGGCGCGGACTGTACACCCTCCTGCGGCACACTGGGTTGCCCCCCACTGCATGGGGCGTGGACTATACACCCTCCTGCGGCACACTGGGTTGCCCCCCACTGCATGGGGCGCGGACTATACACCCTCCTGCGGCACACTGGGTTGCCCCCCACTGCATGGGGCGTGGACTATACACCCTCCTGCAGCACACTGGGTTGCCCCCTGCAGGGGGCGTGGACATACGGGGCGCACGTGTGTCCTCCTGATTTGTCATCACTCCATCCTCACAGCTTTCTTTGCGTGATTTCAGTGGTCAGGGATGACAAGTGCCTAGATCTCTGTGTGCTACTAGGAAAAGAGTAACTCATCACCATCTCCGAATGTCCTTTTGTGTGGTTACCCTTACACACTATGCACACAGAGCAGGGAAGCTGACACTCTTTACATTTTCCACATGTAGCCTTACATGGCCAGAGACCCATGAGCTTTTTTGAGTACTAGCATGTCCTTACTGGTCTCTGCATAGCTCTCCTGTGGCCTTTGACCTCTGCTGACCTCCTTGTTTCCACACAGACAACATGCTGACTGACCCCACACCTCCAGGGAAAGACTAGGGAAGTCTTCAGAATCTACTCACTGACCCAAGGCCTGGGGCACCATGAGTGTCGTGCACGCAGGGAGGCTGACAAGTTTAACTAAAATGGCAAAAATAAGAAAATTATGCAACCACTGCCACTTTTGAAAACATCAAGCTTTAAGCTGAGGTCAGAGAATAACCAGATGGGGCTGTACTACGGAAACTGTGGGGAAGACGCACTCACCGGTTGTAACTCATGTGCTTCTGGAAATTCTTACTCAGAAACTCCTTATAAAAGTCAGCCATTTCCTCTGCGTCCAACGCTGTTCTTTGGCCTGGAAGTAAATTACAATTTAACATAAGACTCGAAGAGAAGCTGCCTGTGGTGGTGCACATTTATAAGTCCAGGTGTCAGAAGTTTGGGGGCAGCCTTGGTTATCGAAGATCCTATCTCAAAATTCCAAACACCATGGGCCTGTGACATGACTTAGTGGAAAAGGCACTTGCTGCCAAGTCTGAAGACCTAAGCTGGGTTCCTGGGACCCCAAAGGTAGGAGAAAATGGACCCCCATTAATTGTCCTCTAGCCTCACATGGATGCTACGGTACATGACCCCCCCACACACACACAAAAAAAAGTAGAAATTTTTATTTAAAGATTCTATTTCTTTTTAAGTTATATACATATGTGTGTGCCCTATAGGTCTGTGCACAGTGGGTAGGTAGAGTTCATGTACAGACCTGTAGGTGTCTGATGCTCTGGGGTAGGGTCATAGGCAGCTGTGAGCCATGTGACATGGCTGCTGGGAACCAAACTGGGTCCTCTACTAGAACAGTAGAGCGTAACCACTGAGTCACTGCCCCAGTTACTACTTGCTATGTTTCTTTTATGTGTCTGGATGTTTGTCTGCACTGGACATTCGCGCATCACTTGTATGCCTGGTGTCTACAGAGACCCCCGGAAGTAGAGTTACAGCTGGTCGTAAGCCACCATGTGGGTGCTAGGATTGAGTCCAGATCCTCCATGAGAGCAGCCAGTGCTCTTAACTGCTGAGTCATTTCTCCAGCCCAGTTTTTGTTGCTCTTGTTTTGTTTTTTAATGTTAAAAAGGGAAGACAGAAAAGAAAAAGCAAGACTGGGATTATGGTTCAGCTGGCAGAGGATCATAAAACCAAGGTCATTCTGGATCAAAAACAAAACAAAAAAACAAAATGAAGGCCGAAGGCCACATGGTAGTAGCACACATCTTTAATCCCAGCACTTGCGAGGCAGAGGCAGGCAGTTCAAGGCCAAGTCTACAGAGCGAGTTCCAGGACAGGCTCCAAAGTTACTGAGAAACCCTGTATATTAAGGCCAACCAGTAGTGGTATACGCCTTTAATCCCAGCACTCAGCAGGAGACAGATGAGGCAATGGTGTGTGTGCTGTGCATCTCTGCTGCTGTGCAGGGCAAGAGTCAAGCCCCTGCAGGCTCAGCTGTGCTGCCCACTGCTAACCACACAGTACTTTATTCACATGTGCTTGTTCCTGCTGTCCCCTCACCTAAAGAACACCCCCCCTCCCCCCACACACACAAACATGCACACATATACACTGACAGGTGCCCACTCTACTCCCTAATTCCCTGCTAGCTTTCTCCGAGGGTCCACACATTAGAAGTGCAGTGTGAATCTATACCCACCTGCACACTGACCCTGCTCTGTTGGCTTGTCAGCTCCCAAGGGCAGCATTGAGGTTCTCTGCTCCACCCACCCCACCCAAGCAGCCAGCTGCATGCCTCTGGGAAGATGATGCTACTCAAGTGAAGGGGGTACCTGCCACCTGCCAAATCAGGGACGCCAAAGGTTCCAGGGAAGGTGACGCATAAGCTGATCTCAAAGGACCAGACTGGAGGACAGTAGGATGGAGAGAGCCCAGTGTAGAGATGCTTTCGGGGTGGCAGATCTTAGCTGATCCTTAGGAAGGATCCTTCGCCTCCAGCAGCATCTCTGGGCCTTTCATAGGGAGAGGGACTGTCAAAACAGAAAAGCTGTTCCCCTGGCAACAGCAGCACAAGCTGTTCCACTGGAGGGGCAGGTTCTCCCATTGTCCACGTAGACGTGAACTGTGTCCTCCCTTCACCTATTTCCTCGTCTTGGGCAAACCATCACCCCAGCACAGCGTCACAGAGGCTTCTCTGAGGCTTGGCAGTAGTTGGAGAGTGGAGAGGGGTCTCTAGGTGGGCTTGTCATTGCTGCACTCAGTGGAGGGTAGAGACAGGCAGAGCTGTCCACACCTGATGCTTCCCCAGGGGCTCAGACAGGGTCACCTTATCCCAACACCTCGGTCAATGATCAGACAGCAGGAACCCCATCAATGCTTGCCAAGTCATCCTTGTTCTACCCCTGCCATTTCTGCCTCTTGTTATTGAACATAAAACAAACCGGAGCAGGAAAAAGGGTAAAGAGAGGGCTGGGGCACAGAAAGAGAAGAAGAGGAAGGGAGCAATATTGGAGGATGGAGAGGGAAAACTCAATTCATTACATCACTACTGAAAACGTGTGGGTGTCTCACAAGTGCCATCTGACAAAGTGGATCTGTCTCCATGGCTCCCTCTTTTCTGGATGTACAAACACTTGCGCAGTCAAAGAACGGGAGGTGGCGGGGGGAGGGGGGGGCTCTTTCCAGATTGCTTCCTGTTCTGGATGTCAGTCGGTGAATTTCCCATGGCAGCAGAACTTGCAGACCAGCCAGGCAGCAGGTGGCCAGTCGCTCTACCTAGTCTGTAACCACCCAGCATCCAGAAATCCCCACTTTGCAACTAAAGAAAGCCTGAAAGGAAGACTTGCTGGACGCACTGCCCCACAAAGACTTCTTAGAGATAGTTCATGGCTACTGCTTGCTTTCTTCTTTGCATGTCATAATGGGTACAGCAGGTAGATCCTTCTAGAAAAGGCTAGGGACTTCAGACTGTCACCAGCTACCAGACTTGCTGCTTGAGACACACTGTTGGTTTACAGCGAGCAGCTTCCTGTCCGCACACTGGTCACATGTCCGTAGGTATCTTAGGAAGGCTTCCTCTCTTCACACTGGTCACACGTCCGCAGGTATCTTAGGAAGGCTTCCTCTTCGCACACTGGTCATGTGTCCGTAGGTATCTTAGGAAGGCTTCCTCTCTTCACACTGGTCACACGTCCGCAGGTATCTTAGGAAGGCTTCCTCTCTTCACACTGGTCACACATCCGCAGGTATCTTAGGAAGGCTTCCTCTCTGCACACTGGTCACGTGTCCGTAAGTATCTTAGGAAGGCTTCCTCTTCGCACACTGGTCATGTGTCCGTAGGTATCTTAGGAAGGCCCATGTCATCCTGGCTACAAATACCACCCATCTGCCATTTATGGTGAACTGTGTGTGTTTCCTGGACACTGACAACATTGTTTGGCCCCTCTGGGCCACTTCCATCCTGTTCCCATGGCAGCAGCTAGGCTCATTCAATACAACCCCATCTCTGTCTGCTGAGCCAAGGCCCAGCAGGGCTGGAAGCTGGCCTGGGGGTTACCATCACTGGACAGAGGAATAAACAAGGAGGCAGAAGGCCAGAGTACACCAAGCTAGAGAAGGGCAAGACTGCAGGAGAGGAATTTTAGGATGGAGTCCTAAAAGCCACCACTGCCTAAGTACAGTCCATGGCCGGGGCCCTGCTCCCCACACCCAGGTCCTCAACACCCACTGAGCCTGCTCAGCCAGCGCCTGCTGCTAGTCCCCCCACAGGCGCCCCAGCCATTCAGACACTTGCAGTCCTGTGCTGCTGATGTCTGGGCCTGGAATGCCTCCTGTGCCCTAAGATGCAGATGGTATAAACTTTAGGATGTGGAGATGAACAGGAGGCCCCCAGGTCACTGCATGGGTGCTTTCAAAGGGGACTCTGGAATTTAGGTCCCATCCATATACAAAACTGGGGGGGGGGGCTGGAGAGATGGCTCAGCAGTTAAGAACACTTGCTGCTCTTCCAGAGATCTTGAGTTCAATTCTAAGCAACCACATGGTGGCTCACAACCATCTGTAATAAGATCTAGTGCCCTCTTCTCGCCTGCAGGGATACATGCAGGCAGAACGCTGTTTACATAATAAATAAATATTTAAAAACTGGGTTTTTTTCTTAACATATACAATTTATTTTTATGTCCTTGGTGTTTGCCTGCATGTCTGTCTGTGTGAGGGTGTCAGAACCCCTAGAACTGGAGTCACAGACAGTTGTGAGCTGTCATGTAGGTGCTGGGAATCGAACCCAGGTTCAATCTCTGGAAGAGGAGCCAGTGTTCTTAACCACTGAACCATGATTCTGTTGTTCTTCAGCCCCTGGTGCTGGAGAATGGTCTGTGTTCTGTCAATCATGTTCTAAATAAATGCTGATTGGCCGATAGCCAGGCAGGAAATATAGGCGGGAAAACCAGTAGAGGTGGGGAATAAGAACAGGAGTATTCTATGAAGGAGGAAGCCCATTCCTCTCAATTCTGCCCAGATCACCAAAGAAGCAGGATGTGACCTGAAAAAGGTACTGAGCCATATGGCTAACATAGATAAAAATAATGGGTTAATATAAGTTACAAGACTTAATAAGAAGCCTGAGCTAATGGGCCAATCAGTTTATCGTTAATATAGACTCTCTGTGTGATCTTCTTTGGGGCTAAACGGCTGCGGGAACTGGGCAGAACAGAAACCCTGACAAGCAGGCCCTTAAGTTACAAGCCCCATGATTTTTTGGTGTTGTTGTTGTTCGTTTTTCAAAACAAGGTTTCACTGTGCAGCCCTGGCTGTCCTAAACTCACTTTGCAGACCAGGCTGGCCTTAAACTCACAGAGATCCGCCTGCCTCTGCCTCCCGAGTGCTGAGGTTAGAGGCATGCACCACCACCGTCTGACTCAGCTTGACTTTCTACCACTAGAAATGTCAGATTTAACTCAGAAGTCTATCAGTAACTGATACCTAATAATTTAAAAAAAATATATTTGGAATGTATATTCTAAGAGGAATAAATCTAAATTTTTCTTTTACATCAAAAGCAATTTGTTTTTCCAATATAACTTACTAGACAAATGTCCTTTGACTTCGGCTCCAGGGAACCTCTAAAGAGCCCCATATGGTAAGCATTTCTCAGCACCTGTGTGTTCTGGACAACTGAGCCATCTTACCTACTGTGCACCCCTCTCCCATGTCAACTGGTCGCTGTGTAGCCGATAGAACAAGATGTTTCTGAGCATGTACACATTATAGAGCAGCTGCATCTACTAGCTGACGGGAAACTCCCCAGAGCTGTCATTGTGGTGAAGAACTCGCCATCCATGCTCAGCAGTTTCCAGTAACACCTTATTAACCATGCTGCTCCCACCCAACTGGGATTATCCATCTTCCACATGCCGCTCTGAATACTGCCAGAGCGGTGACTCTGCACTGTCCCTCTCCAAACAGTCTGTCCTTTTTCATTGCCAAATTAATTATAAATGTTACTTAAGGCCAGTCTTTCAGTACATAGCAGAGTCACTAATAAGACTGTCATGTTCAGAGAAGTCAAAACAACTCTATCAGAAAAATGGCCAGTCTCTAATGCAAGACCACAGCTGATCTGGTGGAGCACGGATACCCCTTTACAACATATGTGTGAGAATGTGTGCGTTTCTCTCTCTCTCTCACACACACACACACACACGCACGCGTGCGCGCGAGCACACACATACACACACACACACGCACACACACACACACACATACACACGCACACACATGCAGCCAGCAGAGGTTGAACTGAGAACTGCTGATCAGCGAGGCCTTTGGGTCTGACAGCCATGGGCAGACTCTCGCTCCTATCTCACTCTATGGTTGCAGGCTGGGTACTCACCCAGTTAAGCCTCAGCCTCATCACACAGCATTTGGTCTTTGGGGCTGATACTTAAAAGGAACTCAGCAGAGTGCCTGGCACTCAGTCAGGACCAAACTGACCCCCCCGTTCATTCCCACACTCACTGTTAGGGTGCAGCACCCCTTCCTGTTGCTGATCTGGTAAGACACTGGTTGTCTGCACAGAGAATAGAGGGGGACTAGTATCCAGACTGCTACCCCTTGGTCTTTCTCTGAGGAAACAGAGAGTGATCAGTAGAGAGTGATGGTACTTCTAATGCAATGACAGATCCATCTTTGGAGGTTAACGGTTCAGGACTGCCCATGAGAATATTTTGACAGCAGGCATCTGCTTAACAAACAGCTGGAATTTTAGTAAGGCCTGACCTCAACACTAAGAGAAAATGGCCACGGCTATTTTGAGCAAAAGAAATGGCCATCCAGGGAGTGGGGAAGCTGGGACTGAAAGGCTATCATGAATTCAAGGCCAGTCCCAGCTACATATTTTCTGGAACTTTAAGTCTCAAAAAAATCAAAAACCAAACAAACAAAAAGGAAACAAGCAAACCCAGCAGCCCGTGGTCTGTTTCCCCGCCCCAGGAATGTGAGGCAGGGAGCTGCTCTGTGGCCAGAGTCCAGAAGCCTATGGTGAGGACTGGATGTGATGGCCACACCTTTAATCCAGCACGTCAGATCTCTGAGTACAAGGCTAGCCAGGGCTACATAGCGAGACACAGTCTCAACAACAACAAAAGCCCAAAGTACCAGGTACGCATTTTGGGTAGAACAGTCTAGCTATGGTGCAAAGAATTCATTTAAAGCAGGGTTTGACAAAGGACATTCAGAGGTCAATTCTATTTTTTGTAAATTAACCCAAACTTTCTGTGTAAGCTTCACAGCAGGCTGAACAGTGCCGACAGATACCCAGGCAACCAGCCTCTGACTTAAAGATGGGGCCAGGTAAAGGTAATCCTTTAATCCAGCTCAGGAGGCAGACACAGGAAGACCTCTGTGAGGTCAAGGCCACCCTGGTCTACAGAGCAAGTTCCAGGACAGCCTTCATAGTAAGACCCTGCCTCAAAAAATAAAACAAAATAAACAGAGAAGCTACAGTGGATGGAGAAGTAACAGGGGCCTGAACTTTAACAATGGTTACAAGACAGGAAAGCAGAAGTGATGGAAACACGTAGTTCAGTTGCCTGATTTAGAGAGGAAGGCCAACAGACAGCTCTCTGTTTTCTGGCTTGAGAACTGACTCAGGAATCCAGGAGACCTGGGAAGGCAGGAGGGTTGGGAGATTACAGAGGCCTCATGACCTTAGCTTGAAGTCACTCATCAGAAGGACAAAAGGCTGCGCAGTCCAATGCCCGAGTGCTTACCTACAATGCTCAGGGCCCTGGATTCTATTCCCAGGGAAAGCAAAGGAAAAAGGAATACCTAAACTCTGAGAGGTTGTGACTTCATCTAAAGGAGGAAGAGAGAAGAGGGAGCCTGCAGCTTGTAGGAACCATGACGGTACACACACATACAGGAAAAGAGGTCTCCACAGGTGAGTGAGACAGCAAGGGAAGGACAGAGGCTGTGTGCCCCTCCACTTCCTTCCCTCAACAGCCTGTCTTTTGACACTAACACAGAACAATCAGCCGGGCGATGGTGGCGCACGCCTTTACCTTTAATCCCAGCACTCGGGAGGCAGAGGCAGGCGGATCTCTGGGAGTTCGAGACCAGTCTGGTCTACAGAGCTAGTTCCAGGACAGGCTCCAAAGCCACAGAGAAACCCTGTCTCGAAAAAAAAAAAAACAAAAACAAAAAACAAAACACAGAACAATCATACTAACCTGACTTGGTTCGCAGGCCTGAGCCTTTAGCTTGAAGTCTTGAATAAATGAATTCTTCTTTTTCCTGAAAGACAACAATCAGAACCCTCTTAGCAGGTGTTTAGTACAAGTCTATACTCCCCAAACTTGGGGAGTGGAGACAGGAGGATTGGGTGGTTAAGGCCATCCTCAGCTACAAGTATGAGCCCACCATGCCTACATGAGACCATCTTGAAAAATCAAAACTAAAAAAAAAATTAAAACAAACAACTCTCTTCTTAGCAGGAGTGGTGGTGCACGCCTGTAATCCAGCCACTCAGGAGGCCTAGGCACCCTGAGCAACTTTAACATGACTGCATCTCAAGGTAAAAATTAACATGGGGCCGGGCGGTGGTGGCGCACGCCTTTAATCCCAGCACTCGGGAGGCAGAGGCAGGTGGATCTCTGTGAGTTCGAGACCAGCCTGGTCTACAAGAGCTAGTGCCAGGACAGGCTCCAAAGCCACAGAGAAACCCTGTCTCAAAAAAACCAAAAAAAAAAAAAAAAAATTAACATGGGATGGAATTGTAGCTCACTAGTAAAGCATCTGCCCAGTACAAGGCCCTAGGTTTAATCCCCAGTACCAAAAACAAAAGGAGAAAGAATGGTCTTCTCTAGCTTCTTCCTCTCTCGGCTAAGAGCACAGTGCAGAGAAATTTAGAGGTTTCCTGAGAAACATCACACCTCAAAGCCTGCTTTTTAAAAAGATTATCTTAAACGCTAGGTGGTGGTGGTGCACGCCCTTAATCCCAGCACTCGGGAGGCAGAGGCAGGCAGATCTCTGTGAGTTCGAGGCCACCCTGGTCTACAACAGCTAGTTCCAGGACAGGTTCCAAAGCTACAGAAGAGAAACCCTGTCTTATCTTATGTGTGCCTCTGTACAGCATGTACAGTGACTGAGGAGGCCAGAAGAGGGCGCTGGATCCCCTGAAACACCTCTCCAGAGGCCACCAGAGCTTGTTTTAAACCATCTCAGTCTGGTTAAAGTTTCATGCTAGGGCCGGGCTGTGGTAGCGAATGCTTTTAATCCCAGAACTCAGGAAGCAGAGGCAGGTGGATCTCAGTGAGTTCGAGGCAGCCTGATTTACAGAACAAGTTCCAGGACAGGCTCCAAAGCTACAGAGAGAAACCCTGTTTGAAAAACAAAAACAACATCAAAACAAAATAAAAGTGTTGAGCTTGGTATAGGAAACTTTTCACATAACCTAGGATGAATTCAAACTTGCCAAGTGGTAGAGACTGGCCTTGTATTCCCGATCCAGAATGCTGGGATAACAGCTTGAAAAAGGACTCAAAAACAAGATAGTCAATGGATTTGGGAAGTTGTATCCACAGAATACAACAGAGATTTCGTTTATATTTTCTTTTCCAATAGGATATTTACACTCACTTCTCATGCGGCTTATGAGTAAGTCAGTAAGAATCTGGGTGGCGGCGGCGCACGCCTTTAATCAGCACTTAGGAAGCAGAAGCAGGGGATCTCCGTGAGTTCCAAGACAGCCAGGCCTACAAGATGAAACCCTGTCTTGAAAACAAAAGAACAAAAAAAACTTGAACTCTCATAACCTATGACAATTATTTCTCATAAACAGGAACACCACTGAGGACAGGAACTAGTCCTGGCCCCCTGCTCCTTTTCTTCCTAGAAAGCCTCAAACTCTGTGACCTATAACTGACCAAAGCGTCTTCCACACAGTTACACCGTGGCTTAGAACAATCTTTGATCTCCTAAAGACTTTTATGTTATTTATTTTGAGACAGGGTCTCACTATGTATCTCAGGCTAGTCTGGAGCTCAGTAAGACGACCAGGCTGCTAGAGATCCCTCTGCCTTTGACTCCCAAGTGCTGAGATTAAAGGAATGCAGCACAACACCTGGCTGCTAAAGACACTATTCTATAGATTCACATAAACCCCAACAGAATAGCAACAATGTAAACCCTGAAAATTTGGCGCCCCCAAGTGGCTGAATGTACTGTGCGACACTGACCTGAATCCCACCCTTACCTTATTAAAGGTCAAATTCTGGTTCGCCCAGAACTGCTGATTCCATTCTTGTGTTTCTTGTCTCAATTCTCTAAGCCTTTGTTCCAAGGGGGACTCGTTTTCAGGAATATGAAAATGTACCGGACGAAGGTTTGAGTGTTTATCTGGAGGTCCTATCCAATCATGGCAAGACTGTCTTGGAGGGCAGAATCTTGAGACCTTTAATGAAAGACACAGGATTAACATGTAAATGAACCAGTCCCCAGTGTTATAAATTTAACAACCTGCATTTATTCAATGCCCCCATCAGTTTATTCTGCGAAAGACTACAATGTATCCAATACCTTTCCAAACAAAGAGCTATAGTACGAATTTTGTTTTTTTTTTTCTCTCTGGTTTCTTCAGACAGAATCTAACTATGTGGCCTAAGCTAGATTCACAATCCTTTTGCCTCAGCATCCCAAGTGCTGGTATTACAGGCAAACACTACCACACCTGGCTTAATTTAACATTATACTGTTCACCAAATGATGCTAAAGCAGTTCTACATCCTGAGAGAAGGCCAGGCCTAGTTGGCAGGCCTTTTACTCCAGCTAGGAAGCTGAAGCACAATCACAGCTGGAAGTCAGCCTGGACAACTTAGTACACCCTGCCTCAAAGTGCCAAGTGCAAAGAAAAGGGCCGAGAACGTGGCTGCTGGTAAGAGTGTCTTCCTAGCACTCCCGGGGCTCTTGGTTCCATTCCGTGTGTGTGTGTGTGTGTGTGTGTGTGTGTGTGTGTACACACTTTGAACTTCTGAAGATGCTACTAAGGCCAGGTGGTGGTGGTCCACACCTTTAATCCCAGCACTCAGGAGGCAGAAGCACAAAGATCTCTGAGTTTGAGGCCAGCCTGATCTACAGAGTGAGTTCCACAAAGAAACCCTGTCTCAAAAATAAAAAAAGAAAAGAAAAAGAAAAAAAATGTTTTAAGGCTGGGTGTGGGGCATACACCCTTAAACGCTCAGGAGGCAGAGGCAGAGATATGTGAGTATGAACTACAGAGTGAATTCCAGATTATTCAGGGCTGCATAGTGAAACCTTGTCAGAAAACCAAAAGGCAGCTGGAGAGATGGCTCGGTGACTAAAAGTACTTCTGCTCTTTCAGATGACCCAGAAAGCTCATGCTGTGGTTCCCAATCAGCTGTAACTCCAGCTCCAAGGGAACCAGACACCTCTTCAGGCCTCAGCAGACAAGCACAGATGTCACATAAACTTATTCACTAAAAGGTTTTCTGCCACTGTCTCCTCTGCCCCAAATGAGTTTCTCCGCTGGTGTAGTGAGCCAGATCAAGAACTGAAGAAGCACAACAGGTATATTGAGTAAGGCAACTCCTGGGTGGGTGCTCTAGTCCCAGAGATCAAGGCCAGAGGAGTATTGTCCCCAAAGTATAGGGAGATTTTACAGGCCGTAGGCGAGGGGTGATTACGTATCCCCCACAAGTTCGGTTTCTGCTCAAGTATGGTCCAAAGCTGAGCATTTAGAGGGGGGCTTGAGCGGCTGGCAACTTCAGGGAAGGAAGCTGCAGTAGCCACCAAGAATACAGAACTGGGCTTTTTCCTGCCTTCCCTTTGTTCAAAGACTCTTGAGTGGGTGGGGTTTAGAGAGACAGAGAGAGAGAGAGAGAGAGAGAGGAGAAATGGGACTTTCCAGACTGTGCAGGGGGATTCAGAGGCTACAACTGGACATTCACATACAATAAACATAAATAAAAAAAAATCCTTTGAAATATTTTTTTAAAAAACCAGTGTTTTAATTATACGCTTCCTGTTAATTCTAATTTATATGTTTGTCATAATATCAATCATCTTTTATTTATTTTATGGGCATCTTTGTTTTACCTGGATGTATATCTGTGTGATGGTGTTCGATCCCTTGGAACTGGAGTTACAGAGAGTTGTGAGTCACTACGTGGGTGCAAGGAATTGAACCCGGGTCCTCTGGAAGAGCAGCCAGTGATCTTAACCACTGAGCCTTCTCACCAGCCCAATAGCAGTCATCTTAAAACAGACTCTTCCTGCAAGTCAGGAAAGATGAAGAAACAGCTCATTTTGCAGTGCTTCACATACGCTGGGCAAGCACTCTGCCACAAGGAGCTGCATTTCAGCATCTCCAGTCCTCTAAAACTTCTCCTATTGCTACTTTTTGTTGTTTTTGTTTTGTTTTTCTTTGTATAACAGCCCTAGCCGAACTGAAACTAGCCCTTGTAGACCAGGTTGGCTGCCTCTGTCTCCCAAGTACTAGGATTAAAGGCTGGCTCAGCTACGTATTTTTAACAGAAAAAAAAAGTGATCTGGGTACTGGGCATAGTGCCCATGTCTGTGACCCCAGCCCTTGGGAGGCTGAGGTAGAAGCCTACTTAACCCTCTAGGTAAACACATTACCACAGGAACTAGTTTGTCCACACTGCCCCACCCTTGACATTCTGCACCTCTGCCCATGCTGCTCTAGACGGCAGCCAAAGCAATCTCTCCTAAATGCTTTCTTTGGAAACTGTGAAGTAAGGCTAGAGATGGCCCAGTGGTTGACAGCACTTAGTGCTCCTACACAGAACCCAAGTTCGATTCCTACTGTCCCAGCTCCAGATGGATTCGATACCTCTTGCCACTGTGGGTACCTGCACTGTTGTATATATGCCCACATATAACACCTAATCCAAAATAGAAACATTTTCATTTTGAAGTATATGGTGTTTTTCAGTATGTATGCCTAGTACCTGGGGAATCCAGAAGAGAATGTCAGATCCTCTGGAAATGAAGTTATAGACAGTTGTGAGCAGCTATATAGGCCCTGAGAATTGAATCTGGGTCCTCTGTAAGAGCAACCAGTGCTCTTAACTACTGAACCACCTCGCTAACCATAATAAATATTTTTCTTTATTAATTGTTTTTATGGTACTGGTATCCATAGGTACTTGACCCTAGCCACTCAAGACACGCACTTTCATTGCGCCACAGTCCCAGGCTCCAATGGCTTCCTTTGTACACGTGTGTATACCTGTTAGCGTGTCTGTGTACAGGTGGAGGAGCCATCTCCCCATCCCAGGCCGAACTTATATCGACCACTCACCACATACGGTAGCTTTAGATGAGGTGGCATCAACGCATTCAGATGTTCTAAGTAGCAATCAGAAGTCTGCCAGGTGTCTTCCTCGATTACTTTCCATACCTGATTACTTGAAATGGGACTACTCACTGAACCTGAAACTCACCAAATGAGCTAACCTGGCTGCCCAGCCAACAAGCGTCATGGATCTGCCTGTCTCCACGGCTCCACCCACCACCAGGATCATAGACATGCGGGTTTTCACATCTTCCTGCTGGTACGGCACATCTCTCTAGCATTCCAAAGGCTTACTCCCCCTCCCCTTTCTTTTTTTGAGACAGGGTTTCTCTGTAGTTTTGGAGCCTGTCCTGGAACTTGCTCTGGTAGACCAGGCTGGCCTCAAACACACAGAAATCTGCCCGGCTCCCCTTTCTTCATGTTTGTGTGTGTGGTATGTGTATATATGGGTGCACTGTGCATGCAGAGGCCCAAGGGTGGCACTGGGTGTCTTCCCTTACTGCTCTCACCTTGTAAACTGAAGCGGGGTCCCTCACTGAACTTGAAGCTCGGCTTCAGCTATTCTCGAGAGCCAGCTTCTTACTCCAGGGATTGTTCTGCTTCCCACATGCTGGGATTACACACAAGCAGTCATACTCATTCAGATTTACATGGAGTCCAGGATCAGAACTCTGATCCTCAGACTTCTGCAGCGAGCACTCCACCACTGAGCCATCTCCTCAAGCCAGACTTAACTTAGACCACTCCACCACACATGGCAGTTTGGGGTGAGTAGAACAAAACAGCATGTTCAGATGTCCTAAGTGAGATCCCAAGGCACTAGCTCTGAGCATCTCTGGGTCTACCCACAAAGGCTCAAAAGCTGGGATTGCAGGCAAGTAGAGAGGTCCAGGGTCTTGAGTTCAAGCGTCTCAGGAAGCTGAAGATGTAGGCAGGTCAGTGCTAGCGGGAGCAGTAGAAAGCTAAGCTTGGCCAGGGGAGACAGGGAAGGCAAGGGACTGGTGAAGTGCTAACCCGGCCACTGCTGCTGAAGACTGCTGGACGCTTCAGGAACCTAGTACAGCCCATACCCTAGAGCCCATGCTGCCCTTCTACTATCGGTGCAAGGGTTTCATTTTGCACTTCCTGCTTACAGCTTCAAACCCTTACTAGGAGCATTTTCACAAGCTAGAAACATGTTCTTTTCTTCTCACAGACTCTGTCCACATCAGGAAATGTGGAAAAGCCACCTCATGTGCACCTTTAACCCAGTACTCAGGAGGTTAGAGGCAAGAATTATTCCAGGCCAGCCCGATCTACACAGCTAGTTTCCAAGCCAGCTAAGGAACTACAGTGAGATACTGTCTCAAAAATAAAGGGCCCCAGCCAGCACTCTTCTCCTGTCGTGCACAGCACAGTAAGCCTACAGAGCGGCCAGCAGGGCAGTGGCTTCTCCAGACCGATCTACTGGAGTCAGATCACCCGCTTCCACAGTTGAACCTGTGTAAGAAAAGTTCCAGGCATCCAGTTTTGCACAACACCTTGAGAGATTTTTATCTTTGACTATGACGGGTTAACTCCTCTGCTTTTGCTACATGAAAATACTTGTGTCTTTGTTCACCATGCAGGAGCTATTAGCAAAGAAAGCAAGAAGCTTGGAGGAGGTAAAAAACCCTTTTGTAAAAGCAGTCTCCCTTTGTAGAGTGAATAATTACTGTAATTTAAGTTCTTACAGTGTAAGAACATAATGCCTAGCTTCCTGAAACGTGGACAGGAGGACTGTGCGTGGGAGGGGTACCCTGCAGGGAGTCAGACAAAAATCCAACATTTGCAAGAGGCAGCCAGCCTAACAGTTCTGTCCTCTGTTTCCTACTCCTCCTCCCACAGCCCAAAGCCACAGTGGGAGATGGGACAACAGAGAGTGTCCACATTTGCCAGAGGCTTCCTGCTTTACAAGGCTCCTCTGAGAGCTCAAAGCCTTCAGTGGATCTAGGCTCTCCAGTCCCCTACTACATGAAGAAAGGTGCTACATGAAACCAGCCAATGCCTTAATCCCAACACTCAAGAGGCAGAAGCAGGTGGATCTCTGTGAGTTCGAGGTCAGCCTTGAACACGTATGAAGCCCTGCCTACAGTCACCTGTGTGCTAAGTACTCTGTGCCTCTGGTACCTGAGGGACCCACACAGGAAACACCAGCCATTACAGACACATGGCTCCACTGATGTTCCAGCAACACAATACAAGGGCATGGATTTCAGAACTGCAGATGCAGAGGTGACTTCATCAAGAGCCCCACCCCCACCCCGTCTGCGTCCATGTGCAGTACCTCAAGCTGTCCTTTGTTACTCCAAAAAATATCAAAATGGCCTGTCCTTTGAAAACTCAGGCCAAAGGTCTGGAATGTTCTCCTGGTTGCAGAAAAGTTTAAACCATAATAAGAAAAGGCAGGCTGCTTTGTTTTTGGTTTTTGTTTCTTTTTTTTTTTTTTTTTGGTATTGTTTTGTTTTTTTGAGACAGGGTTTTTCTGTGGCTTTGGAGCCTGTTCTGAAACTAGTTCTTGTAGACCAGGCTGGCCTCAAACTCAGAGATCCACCTGCCTCACCACTGTCCACATTTTATGAAGTTAAAAGTGACTTTTTTTCTTGAAAAAGGATGTTATGTAACCTCAGAATTCTATGGAGCTGAGGCTAGCTTTGAACTGTTTCTCCCACTTCAGCTTCCCAGGTGATAGGATTATGGGCATGATTCACTATGTCTGGCTGACTAACAGTTTTGAGGAATGCCATAGCAGTAATGGTATATCATGTCAGGAGGCCATGGTTCAAGTAGTGACAACAGGCCTGTTCGTGTACAATTATTCATTTTTTTTCTTGTGTAAATCATGTAATAGTGTAAATGTCCTATACATCATTAAACGTTTATCCTTGGACTAGAGAGACGGCTTGGTTATTAAGAGTAATTAGCTGCTCCTTCAGAAGACCCAAGTTCAATTCCCAGCACCGATATGGGGGCTGTGATAGTCTGAATGTAATTGGCCCCCATAATCTCATAGGGTGTAGCACTATTAGGAGGTGAGACTTTGTTGGAATAAGTATGGTCTTGTTGGAAGAAGTGTGTAACTATGGAGGCAGGCTTTGAGGTACATTGTTGCAGGAGGTTGTTTATTCATTTCGGCTGCCCTGACCTAAATAAGCACATAGAAACTATATTATTTGCAATAGCTTAATCATATTTCTAGCTAGTTAAAATCAACCCATTTCTATTAATCTGTGCATCAACACAAGGTCATGGCTTACCGGCAAGGGTCCACCATCTGTCTCCTCAGGTGGCTACATGGTATCTCACTGACTCCGCCTACTCTCTCTCTGTATGTTTTCCAGCCTGGCTATATTCTGTTAAGCCACAGGCCAAAGGAGCTTCCTTATTAACCAATGGTATATAGAGGGGAATCCCACAACACCTCCCTTTTCTGCTGAAATAAAAAGGAAGGTTTTAACCTTAGCATAGTAAAATTACATATAACAAAACAGGTATCAAGCAAGAATTACAGTTACATATTTATATCTACTTTATCTTTTATTGTAACTAAGGAAAACTAAACTATCTATTCTTCAACTCCATCAAAGACGGCAGAAGGACACAATAATACCTAAGTTAACAGGAAGTGCATTGTAAGCAACTTCCAAAACTCTAGAATTGACAGAGACATCTCGCTGCCTGGACAGTCACCCAAAGTTCTTCTGTACCGTTGGGGCATCCACCTTCAGCCTATAGAACCATAGTATCCAGGAGACTTTTCCATGAAGCAGGAAATTTCAAAGACACGTTCCGCCTATATTGGCAGTTTGTCAGTCACTTTCTTCTGTGTCCTGCAGAATGTCCGGAAGACTCTTCCATGAAGCAGGAACCCTGAAGGACTGTCTCACCTTCAGGAAAGTTCAGCAGTTATTTTTCTGTGGGTTCCACTTGTCCAGTTCATACAGTACAACATCAAGCAGTCCAGGCAAGAACAGTTCCTTGCCCAAAGGGCTAGCAAACTCCATAAGGAGCCACTTCGATGCCCATCTTCCTCTTGAAGTAGACTGGTGCTCCCAGGAGCAAATGTGTCTCATTGTCATAAAAGTTCTTAAAACATTTAAATGCCATATTCTGAAGGTCTCTGAAAGATTTGAAGAATACCTATCTAACTGAAATATATGTGTATCTAGAAAACCTAACATGACTACAAGCTTGAGTATTACATTTCTTAATTACATATTACACTTTTTAAATAGGCGGCACAAACACAGTACCTTAAACAAGAGCAGAAATAAATATATATAACAAAATTGATCTTTCACAGGGTTTCTTTGTAGCTTTTTGGAGCCTGTCCTGGAACTAGCTCTTGTAGAACAGGCTGGCCTCGAACTCTCAGAGGTCTGCTTGCCTCTGCCTCCGGAGTGCTGGGATTAAAGGCGTGTGCCACCACTGCCCGGCTAACAAAATTGATCTTAAATTTGTATCAGTAAACCAAGATCCATATCTATGCAAAGTATTGATCTCTATATCAGTGTACGTGTATATATGCATATGTGTGTGTGTGTGTGTGTGTGTGTGTGTATATATATATATATATATATATATTCTCAAGCCATGCCTAGTATGAGTTCACTTCCTGTTGCCTGCACAAGATGTAGAACTCTCAACTATCTCTCCAGCACCAAATCTGCCTGCTCACTACCATGTCCCACCATGATGATAATAAACAATCTCTGAACTGTAAGCCACCCTATTAAATGTTTTCCTCTGTAAGACTTGCTGTGGTCATGGTGTCTCTTCACAGCAACAGAGACCCTAAATAAGATAGGGTCTGACTGTCATCTATACCTCCAGTTCCAGAGGATTCAACACACTACTCTAGCCTCTACAGACTACATGCACAGACATAGACACAAGTAAAACACCTAGACACATAAAATTACCTCCTAGCAGGGCATGGTGATGTACACCTTTATTACCAGCACTCAGGAGGAAGAGATAGGTGGCTCTCTTGAGTTTGGGACTAGCCTGGTCTACATAATGAGTTCCAGGACAGCTGGGGCTACACAGAGAAACCCTGTCTCAACAACCAACAACAACCAACAACCAAAAAAAAAAAAAACAAAAACAAAAACAAAAATCACCCTTAAAAATAACCGGGGCTGCTGCTGTGGCTCAGTCCTTAACACTGCGCAACACCTCCTGATGGACACCACAGTCACAGTACTGGCAAGATGGAGGCAGAGATGAGGAGGTCAAGGTCATCCTCAGCTACACAGCAAGTCTGAGGTCAACCTGGGATACACAAGACTGAACACACACAAAGACAAAACTAAAAAGCAACTAGTAAAAAGAGATCGGAAATTAAATTATACAAGGGTCCCAAATGTGGGTCTCCTTAAAGCAAGACAGTTAAAGAAAAATATGCAGAATAAGCTAGTACAGAATTTACTTAATTGAAGAAAAGGTTTGCAATGTTCCTTTTTAAAATGTCACTTATTTATTTGCTTTTGATTTTTCAAGACAGGGTCTCCTTGTGTAGATCTTGCTCTATGGAGCAGGCTGGCCTCAACCTCAGCCATATGCCTGCTTCTGCCTCCCTAGTGCTAGGATTAAAGTCACACCACCATGCCCAGCCACAATGTTACTTCTTAGACTTGCTATTTACAGTGTCTTTGCAAGGCAACCTCCATCTTACTAGCACTCAATAGTTCAGGAAACAAGAAATGTAGTAAGACATAAACTGCCCTTAGGCAAAACTGTTTTCTTTTGTGCCACCTAATATTTATCATAATGGGACATTTCGATCCTAAAAAAGCACAGCACGGGCAGTGTAGAACCTGCAAGTTCTGGCTCATAGTCAGCTCCCCTAGCTGGTCATGCCCACGGCTGCCTTCCAAAGGGCGAGCAGCACAGGCTTACCCTGAGGACCCAGACCCTGAGGAATATTAACTTTTTGTTTGTTTTGTTTTGTTTGAGACAGGGTCTCACTCTATGGAGACCAGCCTGCCTTGTGAGTTAAAGGGGTTCAGTCCCCACACCCCCAGCAAGACTCTTCAAAGACTTCTCCTTGCTAATCTTTTTTCCAGCATTAGTTCACCAGATAGGCTAGGGAAGGTCAGGCAAGATGGCTCAGAGGGTAAAGCATTTCATGTGAGGGCCTGAGTTCCACTCCGGAACCTACCATGGAAGGAGCGACAGGTCTCCAGAAAGCAGTCTGCTCAACTCCAGAGCAGGCCTATCACCCGCAATCCAAAAACAAAGTAAATGCTCTTGGCTTAGTTACATTTTCCCTCCCGAAGCATGTTCTGACACCTGCTTTATTTTTTCTGCCCAAGGACTAAAGTTCTGCTTTCTAGAGATAGAAGTGAAGGATTGCTTGATTCTTGTGCGAGAGAACTGAGCCAGCCGCCGGGAGCCTAGGCAACAAATCTAAACTGTAGACTAGCAACAAATCTAAACTGTAGACTAGACAGAACTTCAAAGCCGCAGTTATGATAAAAGTGTGCTAAGAAACACAGCGTAACAGAAATGAAAATTCACACAGCAGGCACATTTTGAAATTTTTAATTATCTCCTTTTCCCCGTTCTCCCTTAATTATTGCTTAAACAAAGCTCTCCAGATTCTGTGATTAGCATGATAGCAAATGAAGCGTTAGTAGCCATGTGCCCTGTTTAATGTTTTATCTGAAGCTTTAGTCAACATTTTCATCCGACTGATAGACTCAAGACGTAGGCCTCTTTTAAAACATCCACTCCCAAAGAAGTGCAAATAATTACAAAGAAAAAAAGCCGGGGAATGAGAAAATACACACTTCAAGAGTCGAGTAAATACAAGCAGTAATTAACTTCGGGAATAAGCAAGGTTCGCACTCTCCACAGCGGGTCCGCTACAAGGATTAGCCCGCGGGGTAGACGCAGGCGTCGCGGGGGATGCTCAGGCCTCCCTCCCTGCCAGCGTCCCCGAGCGTCCCGCTTACCCGGCTGGACGCAGCATCCCTGCGCTCCGTCCCGCGTTCACGGGCCAGCCGACCAACGCCGCCGGAGAAAGAACGGCAGAGATGCAGGCGAATCGTTTCGCTTCCGGGCCGCAAGGCCGCCATAGCCCCAGTGCACTAGATTGAGCGACGCACGTCAGAATCGCGACAGTAGAAAGGTAGGCTTTACGGCAGCGCGCAAAGGCTGCGGCGAGGCCGATCGTGCACTTTCCCTGAGAGATTTCCCTGAGAGAAAGATCACGGCGGAGGGTGTCGGACGGGACGTGGCGAGGCGAAGTTTTCCCCGGGCTCGGAGCTGTGTGGCCGGATCCGCGAGGGCGGTGCCAACGCCGCGGAAGCGAAGGTGAAGGAACGCAATGGCGCGGGAGGCACAGGTGAGCGCAGCGCGGGGGCGCGAGCTTCGTTCTCCCCGGTCGGGCGCTTCGCCGCCCCCGCCCCTCGCCCGCCCCGCGCCCATTGTGAGGTCAGGCGGCGGCGCGTCGGGCCCGGCCGAGACGCCCCGGAGCGGCCGCCGCGGCCAGTAGCTGCCGCCGCCTCCGCCGGCCCCTTCACCGGCCGCCCGGGTCAGACCTAGCCGGGAAGGGCGAGGGGGATGCCGCTGGGGGCCCCGCTCCGGTGCCGCTCCCCGTGACGGGCCGATCTCCCACCTCGCCGCCCTCCGCGGCAGCCAAGACCGCCGCCACGCACACCTCGCCGGGGTAAAGCGCTGCGAGGGCCGGGCCCGCACCCTCCCCGGGGGCTGACTGAGTTCGGTGGCCTGCCCGCCGGAAGTGAGCTGTCCGACGGACACCTAAGAGCGTGGGGAACGCTCTAAGCAAGCTTTCGGGGAGGCGAGTGACCGAGATCATCGCAGTCACGTTTTTGCGGGGGCGGGGGATTGGAGGGGGAGGGCGAACTTGGAAGTTACTTAGTTCCCTTTCTGAAAAGAAGGTTGGCCCCTGGCAGAATGGTGGTCCTGTGGGTTTGGAAGAGCCTCTGTTAACTTCCACAAGGGCACCCTGCCGGTTCCGTAACCTAGTTTAGGATACCGGGATCCGAGGGAACGGTGTTGCTGTTAACCTGATGGTCAGGCTAGGATGAAAGTGTGTGCAGCTCACTTTCTTGTTGACGACAGAGTTCACAGGCCAGACATCTACCTCACACTGCACCCTGAGTAACTTCTGTCTGTCCTGAAAACCCCCGCCATGGTCCCCTGTATTCGGTTTGCTTTTGATTCATAGTCTCGCTAAGTAGCCCAGGCTGACCTTAAACTCTCCCTCTGTCTCCCTCGTGCCAGGCGTGTAGGCATGCGCCAGCACTCCCAGCTTGGTTTGTTTTGCTCCTGTTAAGTGCTTTTAGGAGAGAGAGTTGACATGTCACATCTTCTCTTTCCTCAAGTGTGTCTTTTAAATCTATACGATGACAGAACCTTTTGTCTGTGTGATTTGGTACATGCCCAGGTGCCAGAGTTCACCTCACCCCATCATTTTTGTGGTGTCCTTCTACTATGTTTTTTAGGCTTTTTTTGTTCTGAAGCTCCTCATTTAGGCTAGGCTAGCTAGCCAGTGAACCGCGGGGATCCAGCTATCTCTGTCTCCCTGGCACCGGTCGTAAAAGTATTGCATGGCTTTTTTATTTTATTTTATGAGCATTGGTGTTTTGCCTGCATGTATGTGTGTGTACAACGTGTGTGCCTGTAGAGGCCAAAAAAGGGGACCAGATCCCATGGAACTGGAGTTACAGGTGTCTGTGAGCCGCCATTTGGGTGCCGGGAATTGAACCTAGGTCCTCTGGAGAGCATCCAGTGCTCTCAACCACTGAGCCCTCTTTCTAGCCCCTTCCGTGGCTGTTTTATATGTGTTTTGGAGCTCCAACTTGGGCACTTGACTGACAGCTATCTCCATAGTGCCATCAGCCCTTTTTAAAAAGTGTGCCCTTTTTTTTTTTACATTTTTTTATTGATTTTTATTGAGCTCTACATTTTTCTCTGCTCCCCTCCCTGCCTCTCCCCTCTTCAATCCTCCCCCAAGTTCCCCATGCTCCCAATTTACTCAGGAGATCTTGTCTTTTTCTACTTTCTACTTCCCATGTAGATTAGATCTATGTAAGTCTCTCTTAGTGTCCGCATGTTGTCTAAGTTCTCTGGGGGAAAGTGTGCCTTTTAAAAGCGAGTTTAGAATGGGTTGATCTAATTATCCTGCAGAGACCGTAATAAGTTACTCTTGCCATCTTTCAGTGCTTGTGAAACGGAACACAGAAGTATGGATATGGGAAACCAACACCCTTCTATTAGTAGGCTTCAGGAGATCCAAAGGGAAGTAAAGAATATAGAGCAGCAAGTGGTTGGCTTCAGTGGCCTGTCGGATGACAAGAATTACAAGAAACTGGAGAGGATTCTGACGAAACAACTTTTTGAAATAGACTCTGTAGATACAGAAGGGAAAGGAGACATTCAGCAAGCTAGGAAGAGGGCAGCACAGGAGACAGAACGCCTTCTCAAAGAGCTGGAGCAGAATGCAAACCACCCACACCGCATTGAAATCCAGAACATCTTTAAGGAAGCGCAGGCCCTTGTGAAAGAAAAGATTGTGCCCTTTTACAGTGGAGGCAACTGTGTGACTGACGAGTTTGAGGAAGGCATCCAGGACATCATTCTGAGACTGACACATGTTAAAACTGGAGGGAAGATCTCTTTGAGGAAAGCAAGGTACTACACGCTAACCAAGATCTGTGCAGTGCAAGAGATTATTGAAGACTGCGTGAAGAAGCAGCCTTCCCTGCCACTCTCTGAGGATGCGCATCCTTCCGTTGCCAAGATCAATTCTGTGATGTGTGAAGTGAACAAGGCCAGAGGCACTCTGATTGCACTTCTCATGGGCGTGGACAGTACTGAGACTTGCAGGCACTTATCGTGCGTGCTGTCAGGGTTGATTGCTGATCTAGATGCTTTGGATGTGTGTGGGCGTACAGAGATCAGGAATTATCGGAGGGAGGTGGTGGAAGATATCAACAAATTACTGAAATATCTAGATTTAGAAGAGGAAGCTGACAGTACACATGCATTTGACCTGGGCCAGAACCATTCCATTCTAAAAATAGAAAAGGTCCTCAAGAGGATGAGAGAAATAAAGAATGAACTTCTGCAGGCACAGACCCCTCCTGAATTATACCTGAGCTCCAAGACAGAACTTCAGGGCTTGATCGGACAGCTAGACGAAGTGAGTCTTGAGAAAAACCCCTGCATCCGTGAAGCCAGGAGAAGAGCTGTGATTGAAGTGCAGACCCTGATCACATACCTGGACCTGAAGGAAGCGCTCGAGAAGAGGAGGCTGTTCCCTTGCGAGGAGACACCCCCCAACAAGGCTGTGTGGGGTGTCCTTGGAAACCTGTCAGAGATCCAGGGCGAAGTCCTCTCATTTGGTGGAAACCGAACTGATAAGAACTACATCCGTCTGGAGGAGCTGCTGACCAAACAGCTGCTGGCCCTGGACGCCGTTGACCCCCAGGGAGAAGAGAAGTGTAAGGCCTCCAGGAAACAGGCTGTGAAGCTGGCCCAGAACATCCTCAGCTACCTTGACCTGAAGTCCGACGAGTGGGAGTACTGATGGACCAGGATGGACCTGATCTTGCTGGTTCGCACTTTATCTACTTTTAGAGAGCTTTCAGCTCGTGGAGCCTAAATGTAATTTCTATGTGCATATTCAATCTCAGTATTTATGATTTAATCAAATTTTATTCAGTATTTCTGCTGCTTTTGATGTTGCAAAACAAATCTCATTATAGCACATTAACTTTTCCATCTGGCTCATTATCCTGGTTTGTGTTGATTTTGTGTGTTTTAATGGGAACATGAAAAGGGCAGCATTCCTCATTTTTAGACGGGTTGTGCAAGCATTAAATGCAAATTTGAGAGTCTAACTCTAGGTAAACTTAGGGGCTGAATGGGAATAAAGTCCAAGAACAAAAACAATACAGAGATGTTTTATTATGTAAACAAAACTGGGCCTTTTTTAAGTTACAAGGCTTGTTTGGTCCTTCCCCATCTTATGGGGTGGGGTTTTTGTTGGGATAGTTTGTTTTTTTCATAAACATTTTTGTTGAGCCTAAATTGTTCCCTATGCTTTTCCTTTTAGAGGCGGGGAATCTTGTGTACAACACACAAAAAATTAATGAGACCTAACAACCAAAACTTTGAGACTGCATGAGAAAGGGAAAAAATCATCAGTTATTCAATACCTTCAAGTTACTTTTGCTTGTGAGATCTCAACTAAAATTCTCCTTAGTTAATAAGGCAGCAGACCACTAAAGAACCATTGCTGTCTCCCTGTAGCCGGAGGATGAAACCTGGAGTGGTTGATGAGGAGCGTCTGTCTGTAGCATAAATGAGATGGGTTCCTTTGTCGGTCACAGCTGTGAAATAGAATGCCTGTTAAACATGACATCATTTACACCATGATACCAGAGACTGTTGGTAATCTTGGGGGACAGGTCTCTGCAAATGTCAGTGGTAACTGCTGCTGGCACCCCAAATATCACCTGTACCTAATTGGAGTGAGGCTGTGGGGTACCTGATGATATTGACATAAGGACCCCTCTTTTCCTGAAAATTCATTACAACCTGTCGGGTATATAAAGGGTTTTATTATTTGTTTTTTTCCTTCTGTGTCTTTCTGTGAATATTTTCTATGTGTCCGACATTATGGTTATCTACTAATACAGACAAAGAATCCCCAGAATTCTGCAGCGCCTTCTCAGTGTGGTGCCAGCACCGTTACTAACAGACCCCATGCCATGTCCCATTTCATTACACAACCCTCTGACAGCCAACCTCAGTGCACCATCTCATAGAACAGTAGGTCCCGGGGCTTCTGGCCATGAGTCCTCCCCGCTAAAGTCCCTAGAATCCTGCGTCATGGCTTTAGAACATCCTTCAGGTCTGACTGCAGGTTTTTAAACTGAACTCTCTGGGGAATCAGTACATGAAAGTCCCTTCAGGTGCACCTTTCACAGGGTTTCTTAATCCCTTAACTGTTTCTGAGGGTTACACGTCAGCCTTTCTTCTCAACAGTCCATTGTCCTGTTGAAGCAGAGTTTTGTCTCTATGACCTGCCAAGACACCCCACACTGCTGAGCTTGGAGCCTGCTGAGCACAAGAAGCACCTCCCCCTCAGTGGGATTCCACATGGATCCTTCTGCTCCTGGAGGTGGTGGGATAGACTACAGCTCCTGTTACAGTTCCTTGGGCTCAATTCTCTCATATAAAGAACACTAGCAAAGTTCAGACTGATTGCTTGTCCCCCTGGGGACCCAGTGTGTCACTGTGGCCGCTTCCTGGACTTTTTTAACTTGGGCTCTCCGCTGTAGCAGTTCCATGATCATATGTGAAGAGACTGCAGCAAGTGAGAAGCGAGGCCTTTGTCAGCATTAAACCATGTCATCCCTGCTTCTGAAAAGAAAGAAATACCTGGGAATACTCACCATCTTCATTCTTTGTCCACCTAGATGAGTCTTCTGACAAAGTCACTTTAAATAAATGGAACAAATGTGTCTACTCAGTTCAGTTTAATGTTTTATTTTGCTTTTTTAAATGCCTATAGGTTAGCTGTAATGAAGTTCGACCAGTTTTTCTCATTTGTAAATTTTTTTTTCTGTTTTAATTTGAAGCTGGTTTTGAACTCCTGACCTGCTTGTCTCCATCCCCTAAGTGTTGGAATCACAGATGTACCCTGTCACACTTGGCTTCTTGCTGCTTTAATGCAACATCCCTGGGTGGTTTTTTGGTTTTCTGAACCTCAGTTATTCTGTACATGCAAATTGGTTTTAGGTTTTTTGTTTTTGTTTTTTGTTTGTTTCTTGTTGTTTTTTTTTTTTTTTTTGGGTTTTCGAGACAGGGTTTCTCTGTGGTTTTGGAGCCTGTCCTGGAACTAGCTCTTGTAGACCAGGCTGGCCTCGAACTCACAGAGATCCGCCTGCCTCTGCCTCCCGAGTGCTGGGATTAAAGGCGTGTGCCACCACCGCCCGGCTTTGTTTCTTGTTTTTTTGAGAGTTTCACTATGTAACCCTGGCCTTTTCATACTTTCTATGATCCTTCTGCCTCGGCCTTGAGAATATTAAGATTACCAGTGTATGCCACCAGAGCTGACCGTAAAGGCCGTGCCATTTTTAACTGATTGGATTATTTTCCTTAATTGGTTAAATGGGCTAGAGAGATGGCTCAGTGGTTAAGAGCACTGTCCGCTTCTCCAGAGGACCTGAGTTCAATTCCCAGCACCCACATGGCAGCTCACACTGTCTATAACTCTGGTTTCAGGGGATCGAACATCCATGGCACATAAAATAAGAATAAATAATGCAGAAACATCTCCCCGTGGTTTTGATGCGTAATCTGCAATCCAGAAGTGTTTCCAGTATACTAGTTCCCACCTCATCACTATTGACCGTGTGACTATTAGGGTGTCTAAAATAGTATTTTCTTGACAGAAACAAGCTTGCCCCTCCCTTAATTATTACTGAAATAAACCAAAGCTCTTAGCTCTACTTGCTGTGGAAAAAGGATATGAGTCCAAAGTGTGTGTTGTGTTCTCTGCTGGCCACTACCTACCTTCTGCCTGTTCCCTCATGTTTTGTGTGACTTTGGGGAGGAGCCCTTTATGCCCTGGTGCGCCAGGCTACTCCTAAAGAGTTAACCATAGTATTGTATGGAGATAAGGGCTTTGGCTAGGTCCCTAAACCCCAGGGCTTATGATGGGCCAGGCTTCTTTGTTAGACAGGAGTTGACCTTGCAGGAATGAGAAGATCTTCCTGAGGTAGATCATCCACAAGGAGAAAGCTCAGCCTGTCTATGCCCTCCAAACACATGCCACACCCTCTCTACCAATGGAGAGTGGGCTCTGGTCTTGGCCCAGGTTGAGGGCTATTCTGTCTAGAATCAGATAGCTATACAGTAGTGGTTCTCAACCGTCCTAATGCTGTGGCCCTTTATTACAGTTCCTCATGTTGTGGTGACCCCCAGCCATAAGATTATTTTTGTTGCTACTTCATAACTAATTTTGCTACTGTTATGAATCGTGATGTAAATATCTGATATGCTGCCCCTGTAAAAGGGTCATTCAACCCCAAAAGGAGTTGAGACCCACAGGTTGAGAACTGCTGTCTAGGAGATAAAGGATATGGAATTGGCCACCCTGGATCTGACAAGCCCAGATCTGAACGCCCAGCAGCCCCACAAGACAGTTGAGCATAGCACAAGAGTTTCCAAGCAAGCTTGTGCAGGTCCCAGTCCAGTCCTGGAAGCAGGACTGGGTTCCACCCTTCCTGGTTGGGACGTGTCTAAAGCCATCTATTTCCCATGCTATAATTAGATCCTTTCCTGGTTAAGCTACCATTACTTTCCTATGGGCCAGGTGCCATGCAGTGTTTCACTTGCATTCTAAGTTAGAACCTCCTGCTGCTGTAGATGGTCACTCAGTCAATGACCAGTAGGAAGGCAGGACCACAAAGTGCAGATCTATATAAATTAATTTACCTGGGGCAGGGTGGTGGTGGTGCATACCTTTAGAAGCAGGTGGATCTCTTGGATTCAGGGCCAGCCTGATCTACAGAGTGACTTTCAGGACAACCAGGGCAACATAGAGAAACCCTGTCCCAAAAGAACAACAGATTTACCCGGGAAGTCAGAGCAATGGCTAGTGTGCAGTCCCCCAAGAGGGGATGATTCCACCAACTTAAGGCACAGCATGGCTATCTGGCTTGGGACAGCTCCCACTGTAAGAACTGGCGAGGGAGTTGAGGGTTGGACACCACTCCAGTAAGCCAGGGTTCACAGCGCAGTTCTTTCTGCCAAAGCTAGAGCTACTGGTGAGCTTGTTAAACTTGGGCTGCTGGAGGGTTAGTCGGTGCCACACTGCAGGGCGAAGGGCCAGGTGACTCACGAATAGAACATCTAACTGTGGTGTCACATTGCTCCCAGCTATTGAATCCCGTTCAGAGACAAGAGTGCTGTGGCTTGCCTGCTGTCTACTGTCTTCCAGCCGTGAGTCACACCTGCAGAGGTTCGTGTCTGACTACTCAGGATGCATGGACCTCTCTAGATGGGCCTTGGGCTGCCCATTCATCCCACTGACCTCACTGGCTACAGAAAAGTCTCTGAATATGTAAGCATTTCCTGAAGCTGCCTGCTTCCCACATGAATGTTGCTGGTTGTCTCCAATCTCACGCTCTGCAGCGCAGTCCTCTGAGGTCCTAAGACCTGGGTAGTTAGTCCTAAGTGAGCAGAAGTGAGAGTCACGGACAGCCAGCCTGTTTGTAGCCTGGGCCCTGTTGCTTTACCCCACATTGCCTCTTCCCATCTCGGCCTGGAGGTGTCTCTCTCTGCCTTCACCATTCTAGTACTGGCTTACTTGTCCCTGGCCATGCAGCCTCGCCTTTCAGGTACAGCTGGCCTCTGTACTGTAGCCCCAGGGCCTTGTAGGAACAGACACATACATGCCTGTTGGGGTGAGCTGTTCTTTAGGGTGGTGTCTTGGTACTTGGCGGGCACTCAGAAGATACTTGCTAAGTAATTAAGTAGAGAAGAGGTTTTATTGGCCCTTTATGATACTTCAGAGAATTTCCAGAGTGCGTCACCTGTCAGGAGCTCTGGTGGGGTGCCAAGTGCCCCATGTGATGTGCATAAGTCCCTTAGACATGCCAATGGGGACAGGTGACCTCCAGGCTGACAGTCTCACCCTGCCTCTGCTGCAGGTACCTCACTGTGCAGTGTTGGGTTCTGGCCTTAAAACTCACCTATAAGGGGTTGGAGAGGTGGCTCAGAGGTTAAGAACATTGACTGCTCTTCCAGAGGTCCTGAGTTCAATTCCCAGCAACCACATGGTGGCTCACAACCATCTGTAATGAGATCTGATGCCCTCTTCTCACCTGCAGGGATACATGCAGACAGAACGCTGTATACATTATATATATACATACACACACACATACACACACACACACACACACGTGTGTGTGTATGTATATATATATACATATATATATATACACATATATATATATGGTTTTTCAAGACAGGGTTTCTCTGTAGCTTTGGAACTTGTCCTGGAACTAGCTCTTGTAGACCAGGCTGGCCTTGAACTCACAAAGATCCGCCTGCCTCTACCTCGCCAGTGCTGGAATTAAAGGTGTGTGCCACCACCGCCCAGCCATAATAAATAATAAAAAATAAACTCACCTAGAAAAAACTCAAGTTTGTGCCTTGACTCCCCCCCCCCAAACAAATGCTGTTTTTAGGGGCTGGGATGATCAGGGAGGGACTGTGTCAAAACTACCCTATTTAAGACTGATTCCATGGCTGGGTGGCTGTGCTACATGCAGTGAATTTCAGCAATGGAGAGGGGCCGAGGCAGGAACATCTCTGTGAGTTTGATGCCAGCCTGGTCTACATTGTGGGTTCCAGAACAGCCAGGGCTACACAGAAACCCTATCTTGGAAAACCAAGAAGTGGGTGGGTGGGAGGAACTGATTCCAAAGGGCAGGAAATGGCTTGGTGTACAGAATTGCTGAACTGGGCCGCGCGGTGGTGCACGCTTTTAATCCCAGCACTCGGGAGGCAGAGGCAGGCGGATCTCTATGAGTTCGAGACCAGCCTGGTCTACAAGAGCTAATTCCAGGACAGGCTCCAAAACCACAGAGAAACCCTGTCTCGACAAACCAAAAAAAAAAAAAAAGAAAAGAAAAAAGAGAGAGAACAGAATTGCTGAACTGGGGGTGCAGGAGAGGGTACAGAATAATTGTCAGGAAGGTTCAAAGTGTCAGTTTGAGGTACAAGTGAAACCCCTCAACCCCCTGGGATGAAGACTGCCATGCAGGGTCATGTGTGGTCGGGAAGTCTGGGGAGGCTTTCTGGAAGAGAGCAACACCTGTTAACTTCAACTGTGTGGAGTTTGCTGTCTGCTGGAGAGGGCTAGCCCAGAGCCACAAAGTCGTGACCATATCACCATACCCAGGGATGGGGCTCTGTCATTTATTGGGGGGCTCTGGCCACAAGTCTCCAGCAGAGCAGTGACCAGCCCATGTGGGTCAGTGAAGGTCACCCTCACCTGCTCCTCCAGGGATTGTCTCCACCCAACAGCCACACTCTGGACCTCCTGTCCTTCCTCCCAGCCTACATGGCTTAGGTTCCCTGTGGTCCCTCCCCTCACACACACCTCACCTTTGGCCCAGTTCTGTTTGCAGCTTCATTGCTGACCGAGAGGCATCTTCTTGGACACCCCCCCAGGTGCTCACACAGGACCCAGGGGCAGCAGGACATATCCCATCAGTCCACTGTTTTCATCTGTGTCACTGGTGGCTGGGGCTCTTGGCCTCTCATGTAAAGGGTGGAAAACAGGGACTCGCATCTGTAGAAGAAGCAGTCGACTATTTGAAGCGAATCGATGTACAAGTCATAGCAAATACACTGTCAAGATTGACCGTGGGCCACGTGAATGAGGACCCTCAAGACTCCTGAATTTTGTTTGTTTTGTTTTTTATTTTTCGAGACAGGGTTTCTCTGTGTAGC